GCCAGACTCATGCAGATTTGAAGATCTTACCCCTTAAAAAAAAAAAAAAGTTAAGAAAAGCAAAGCAAACCAAAACCACATTAACTGCATTTGCCAGCTCTCTTGTTCTTCCATTTATGAAGAGGAAACGTTGCTGCTGGCTTGCCCGAAACCCCAGACTTGGAGATCTGGGGAGCTCAGTGGAGTGCTTTTAGGGCTGCAGGATGACGATCCTGCTGTCGCCCTACTCATTCACGCTAAAATGTAGGTAATTAGTGAGGAAATGCTGGTGTCTCTTAATTGCTTGGCAAAGCAAGGGTGCCTCTGGGAGTAGGGCTGCTGCCGGCACCGGTGTGGAACCCCCCGTCTTGGGGCATGAGCCCTATGGGCAGTGTCCCTGCTGCGGTCGGGACTGGATGAAACGAACCCTGGGAGCAAGAATCACATCATATTCAGGAAGTTTTGTGCCTTGGACAACACTTCAGCCATCCAGCCCTCCAGCTAGCCATACTCTTTTTCTTCATTTCTTTGATTTAATGTGCGCATTTTAAGATTTGATTAACTACAAAGCAGAATGGCCAGTGGTTCTGCTTGACGTGGTTTATGTAGACAGTGCTTCTTGATTTCGCTTTATTGCCCTTTTTTCCCTTCCTGCTATAACATAGGGGAGAAAGTAACTGGAGCAACGTGACTTGGGTGGGTTCATTCAGCAAAGAACGGGGCCGGAGGTGCTCAGATGCTGTCTTTCATTTTAGTATCAAATGGTAGCAGACTTGTTCCAAGATGAGAAGGATACTGCAGCCACCACTCCCATGGGAAAGGGAACATCCAAAATCAGCGTCCGATCTGCCAGACCAGTGATCAAAGCTGCCAATAAGGAACACAAGAAAACCGTGGGACACCAGGTAATCTATAAGATGAGCAAGTCAGCTGTTGACAAGGGATTGGGGCAGGTGGATCCGCACATATTTTCACCATAAAGATCTTTTTTTCTTCAGCCTGAAGCAGAGATAAATAATAATACGTTGGAGGGGAATGGGAGGAGACTTTCCTGTAAACCCGTGTTGTAGGAGGGGAACGCTTTGGCTGTTGCATTCTGGATGCCTGGCAGTGTCTCTGGAAGAACAGGTTTGAGTAGTCTTGGCTGGAAGCAGCTGAGATAGTGTCTAAGGAGGGTAGAGGCCACTCTGAGATTCCCTGGGCTGTACCCCAATGTACTGTAGTTTTCATAAATTGAAACAACTTGAGAAAAAGAACATTTCCCACCTGCCCCGCGTGGACAGTCGAGCAGCGCAACAGCAGCCCAGAGAAGCTGTGCTGCCTCTGCCCTTGAAGATTTTCCAGACTCAACTTAGCGAAGCCCTGAGCAAACACGGTTGCTCCAAATTGCTGGGGCAATGGGCAAGTTCATGCTGTGTCACAACGAGGGCACCACGGGTGGCTTGGGTGACTTGGGTTCCACAGCACAGCACCTTCATCCCTCCTCACAGCGAGCGGTTTTGTCTTTCAGTTCCGCAACTCGCTGCATTTGCTCATGGAGACCCTGAACAGCACCACCCCGCACTACGTGCGCTGCATCAAGCCGAACGACGAGAAGCTCCCCTTTAAGTAAGTGGGCGTTCAGATGAGAAAATGTTTTCAGCATTATGGCAGCAGAATGCGCTTCGGACTTCTTCTCTTGCTAAAGGGATTTTCACCCCCCTTGTGAGGCTGTTCCTGTAACTGGGAGCTCCCAGTAGTTTGCTGGAATCACTTCCCTTGGGTTTCATTATGTGGTTTTTGTTCCCTTGAAATGAACACTAGTGCAGGCCCTAGTAGTTCACAGGTTTTGCAGTAGTAGGGTCTTTGTACAATTTCATCTCAGAATCATTTTGATTTAAATAGTTATAGTACTGAAGGGTGAAAAGTAACAGAGAAAGAAATGAAACATGGAGGTAAGCAGCATGCCTTGCAAAATGGCTTGTAAAATGAACAGAGAAATGTTTTGAGCTTCCGGAATAAATGTGGAAAACTTAAAGATGTGGCTTGTGTCAGCTTCATGCAGGTTTCTAGGTGAGTGAAAAGCTGAAGAAAAAAGCCAGTCTTTATGAACCCTGTAGTGCAGAGATGCATCACAAGCTGCGAATATGGCAAGGAAATAGCTGTTAGACTTGTTTCACCTCTTGACAATGTATTTGTACCTAATTTTGTTCCCTGAAACTCCAAAAAAAACCTCGGCCATTAGTATGCAAGGACCTCATAGATCTTGTCGTGTCAGCACGGTGCCACCACGGGGTGCGGAGACAGCCCCAACAGTGTCCTGCAAGGGAGGACAAAGCATCCATAAACAGGCTCACCCCTGGTTACGATGTGTTGCTGAATGTGTGTCCACCACGAAGGTTCCTCGGTTTGGCTCTTCCCCCTGCCGCAAACAGCAAAGTGGAGGGTATTAATGGTTAGAAGACGTTCAGGAGCTGGCTTGTATTTATTTGATTCATTAGATGATTATGTAACAGCTGTCTGTGCTGGGAAGGCGTTTTCTGTGGTCTGTTGTGTCTTTCATGTACCTTTTTGTAGGTACTGGAGGTGCTTAGGGCCTCAGTCACTTGTTGCCTGTTGCAAAGGTGGTCCATTTATATGAAATGCAGGATTATACTTTTTATTTGATCTCTGTCTTTAGATAAAGCACAGAAGCATTTTCTAACTGTATTGGAAGTGAAATGCCTTCACCTTTCCAAACTTTATTTCCAAGGCTCCACGTCCTTACTCATGTCTGCTTTCAGGCCATACATCTTCACTTCTTTGCCTTTAACTTTGCCATTGAAATTTTGATGTGATGCCCAGGGTACAGTTAATCTCATCTAATAAACGTGCAACGTTGTCACGGTGAAGTAATTATCTGGATGAATTCAGTTGTGCTTTTGAGATGTTATGAGTAGTGAGTACGGGGAAGATAATTCTGATTGTGTCTGCTCACAGTCTGAGCGATGACTTGATCTGGTGTGGTGCTCCCCATCTGATGAATGTCAGAGTCATCAAAGCTTGAGATTTTGGCAATAAAGGACAAACCAAAGTATGCACAAGAATAATTCTGGAGGAGCATCGTGCAGGTGCCTGCAGCCAGCAGCCTGGCAGGAGTCACCATGGACTGGAAACAACAGGAGGGTGCTTTGGGTTGGGGTATTGGTGTTACATCTCCATCCACAAGCCAGAAAGCACTGGCTGAGGTGTCTGCTGCTGGCGTTTCTTCTGCAAGAGATTGTCTCCCACTTCACCCATCATGGAAACTGTGATCTGGGAATCTTGGTCAGCGTTGATTTTGCTGCCACCAGCTTGAGGAATTTGCCTCCATAGTGTGGCTCAAATCAAGTCTATTTGCTTATATGTGAAACTCAGATGGCTGTACAGGAGTCTGCATTTCAGAGGCACTTGTACTGAAAAATAACACGGTGTCAGGAGACATTAGTGAAATGAAACATCAGTGACACCACTCTGGGTTGGCGTTGAAGTGGTGTCTTGTAGAATGCAGAGCACTTGGTGTTAAGTCCTTTGTCGATGGAAAAAACAGTCTTTTTTCTCTTGCTAAAACATAACATTTTCCTCTCTTGAGAACATTACGTTTTTGTTAAAACGAGATGTTTAGCGAGGAGAAGAGATGGGACCTAATAGTAGTCTTCCAGAACATGGAGAAGCTACCAAGAGCTGGTCTCCCCAGTTCAAGAGAGACAAGGAGCTACTGGAGAGAGTGCAGAGGAGGGCAGTGAATATGACTGAGGGACTGGAGCATCTCTCTGACGAGGAAAGGTTGAAAGAGCTGGGACTATTTAGCCTGGAGAAGAGAAGGCTGAGAGGAGACCTCACCAGTGTCTATAAATACCTAAAGGTGGATGCAGGGAAGATGGAGCTGGACTCTTTTCAGTAGTGCCCACTGCCAGGATAAGCGCCAAAGGGCACCAGATTTTAAACATGAAGAAGAACTTCTTTGCCATGAAGATGACAGAGCATTGGCACAGGCTGCCAAGAGAGGTTGTGGAGTCTCGTCTTTGGAGACTTTCAAAACCCGCCTGGATGCCATCCTGTGTGATGTTCTCTGGGCAATCCTGCTTTAGCAGGGGGTTTGAGCCAGGTGATCTCTAGCGGTCCCTTCCGACTCCAACCATTCTGTAATTCCGTGAGGATGAAGCCATCCTCTTCACAATGGCGTGCGGTGGGAGGACAGGATACCCATCGTCATGTGTATTGTCCTGCTTTAAGCTCTTTATTTCAGCCTGAGCTCGTAGCTGGAGCTGTTGCTGGAGAGGGTCCTGGCTTTCCATGCTGATGAATGACTGCAGACGCTCTGGTTGCTGCATTTCACCCCCACTGAGCAGGGCTTGGCTGCGTTACAACATAGATTGCCCTGGGATCTTCCAGGACTGTGAAGCTTCCCCGTCCATCTACCAGTCCTGTTTATTATTTATTGTTATGGAAATTGTACCCTAGTGGATTCTTCTTTGAAGTGAGTGACAGCCGAGACCGATTTTCCACCCTGCGTGATGTTTGTGGTGTTGTAATGAATAATTTGCTGTAGGCTTGACAGATCCAGGGGATATAAAAATGCACGAAATAGCGAGGGACCATTTCTTATGCTGCTTTTGTACAGTGGAGGCCAAGCAGAATTATTCATGCAATCTTGACCTGCAAGTATAAATACTTCGGGCTTTCAGGTATGGACAAGCAGGTACCTGAGAAGCCTTTGTTCATCATCCGTGTTCTGGAAACCTAACACAGCTCTGGACACGTACATCTGTGGGCATCTGCATCTTAAGAGTTTGATCCCACGACCTTTTCCTGGGTCTTGAGCTGGGACCTATATGTACATTTGGTGTCAGCAGCAATGGGGGATGATGGTGCATGGACTCACTCTGTGCAAAGACAGACTGATCTGAAAGCGGGTTCATGCCAGGAACCAGGGAGAGCAGAGCCCAGGTATTCAACTGGAAACTACCACAAAGGTTTCTTGGCACAAATTGCTGATGGAAATGAGACCCCAGTGGTAAGAAGGGGTGTAATGCCAGCTAAAAAGAGGAGAGCAGACAGCTGAGAACAGAAATAACTTGAATTTCCACATGGTGCCTACCAAAGCCCATGTGCTGCCTACTGAAGCCTTTAGTCAGCAACGTGAGCACCACTGTTCTCCTTAAATGGTCCGCTGACGCGTGGGACCTTTTAATTGCTCTGTCTTGGTATGGAATTTAATATATCAGGTATATGTAGCTATTGAATTTGATTTCTTTCTGGAAAAGTGTTGTTACCCTTATAGCTACAAAAGGAATACTGTCTGGTTCATCAGGCAGCTTGTGGTGGGGTAGCCTGTTGCTGTCTTTATTGTAGTTGTGTTGCTTTACATAGCTGGATAGGTTACGGCTGCAGAGACTAATTGCAACAGATTGTAATCTTGTCCCACGAGTACTGCCTGGCATCAGTAGTAGGGCAATAGCAAGGCCCATTTCACTTGAAAAGCGCCGCCTCTTGTGACATGGAGAGAAAACGTGTGACATCTGTGCGGCTCGTTCCCAAAGCTAGGCATGGGATTTGTGATGATACTGAGGTGTGCAAGGGAGTGGCTATGACGAAAGATAGCCATGGGTGCCATAGTTCAAGGGGTAATGGTTTTAAACTAAAAGAGGATAGATCTAGACTGGATACAAGGAAGAAAATTTTTATGATGAGGGTGGTGAGACACAGGCACAGGCTGAACAGAGAGGTGGTGGAAGCTCCTGGTGACATCCCAGGTCAGGGGCTTTGAGCAACCTGATATAGGTAATGGTTTTAAACTAAAAGAGGATAGATCTAGACTGGATACAAGGAAGAAAATTTTTATGATGAGGGTGGTGAGACACAGGCACAGGCTGAACAGAGAGGTGGTGGAAGCTCCTGGTGACATCCCAGGTCAGGGGCTTTGAGCAACCTGATATAAAGACGTCCCTGCTCACTGCAGAGAGTTGGACAAGATGACCTTTAAAGGTCCCTTCCAACCCAAACCATTCTGTGATTTTATGCATAGTTGTCTTCAACCCCTATATTAATGATGAGAGCAGGGCTGGTGGTTTTTTTTGCTTTTTTTTTTTTGCTTTGTTTCTTCCCCCTCAGCAAATCAACAGCTAGTTCCTGACCCCAGAAGTGTTGCTGTCCGGGTGAATTCATGATGCGGGTTGCTCCTCACTGTGTTAATCTCTGTGCTAAATATAATTCCAGATTTGATCCGAAGAGAGCGGTGCAGCAGCTGAGAGCTTGTGGAGTGCTGGAGACCATCCGCATCAGTGCAGCTGGCTTCCCATCCAGGTATTGTGTTGGGACCTCAGCCGTACTTTACTCAGCACCTTCATTGTCTGGGGTGAGGGAGGGAGATGAGAACACTGGTGTTTTCACGACAAGTTGAATTTATTTAGGTTGGTTTATATTCAGGATAGATTTTTTTTCCTTTTTTTTTTTTTTTTTAAATTTTGCAAAACCCTGTCATGTCCCGTTCAGAAGATTCATAAATCCCCAATGGAGTGGGCAGTGGTGAGACAAATCTTGAGGTCCACACACAAACATTTATTAATTTCCCACAGTGAGTGTATTTGACTCACAATAATTGGTTAAGTATGTGACACTTCAGGGCAAGCAGTATGATATGACTTCATGGTAACCAGGAAAAAAATGGGTATACAACAAACTACAGCAAGGCATATGTTATGCCTTGTATTACTTAAAAAAAGACTTATATAGGCCTTATATATTTTTACACTTATGTATATAAAACAATTTATAGCAAGCCGTATAATACTTGATTACAAGAAATAAACTAAACTAAGTAAGCACTATGATAGACCTTGCATTACTTAATGAGAAAGGCGAGAGAGAGAGAGACAGACAGACAGACAGCTCTTCACACCCCTCTCCCACATTCTGCCTCGTACTCTGTTCACCACAAACCCCCATGAGGTCCTGGGTTCCCCAAATCTAGATTCGTTATCAAGCGATGAGCTGCAAAGTGAGGGTGTCTGGTGTCTGGTGTTTCACCTGCCGCTTTCTGTTTGGTCTTGAGAAGTAATTTGCTGTGGTGAAATCTCTGAAAATGCTGGTCTGTGGTAGGTAAAGGAATCCAGCTTTGATCCCATTTGAAGGTGTACAGCCGGTAGCAGAATAATGTCTTTAAATCTTTTGCATCCAGCTTGCCTTGGAGCGGGTGTTGCCCTAGAGAACTTGTTCCCTACTTGCCTGAAGCTCCCCATATAAAAGTTCCTTTCACTGTAGAGTTTACTTTACTTTTTTTTTTTTTTAATTCTGGCTTCAGACACCTGCTGCAATAGTCATTTCAGCCAAAAAAAAAAAAATGATTATGCTTGCAGATAAAGAAAATAAGGGTTGTGTATTATTATTGCAGACTTTTACACTGTGCGTCCAAAGCATACCAGGCTTTAAGCTCTTGCATCTTAAAAAGGAAAGGCTATGGGTGGTGCAGCTCTTGCTGATTGCGATACAGAGTTTGAAAAAGGTTTTGAGGGCCTAATAAATCAGAAAACATAAACTATAAATAAACCCTGAGGATGACAAGGGCAAATAATTCTAAAAATGCATCAGTTGCGTTTTAGTGCCAAGCAGCTTTGTGTTAATGTCAGCATAGCCATCAGCCTTTTGATACGGAACAAAGGAGTTATAAATACGCTCAGTAAAGAGTCGGCTAAGCGTGATGCTGAACGCCATGAGAAACTCCCTGTCCCGGTTTTTGGGGAGGACTGTGCTGCTTTGCCAGTTACTTTCATCTCCTGCAAAGCTGCAGAGAACCTCTGACAACCGATGGCAGCTTCAGTGACGTGAGGTGGCTCTGCGGCACTTAACCCCTGGTGGCTGGTGACCTCCGTGGACAGGCAAAAAATCCTGCTGGTGAGGATCAACCTGGCTGGTGGAGCTCAATGCCTTTAGGTGGAGGAAAAGAAAATAAAAAATAAGGAAAAAAGAAGAAAATTTTCATATAAAGCAACGAATATATCTCATTTAGCGGCGTGGGAGAGGTGAATGGAGATATGGATCCTCCTGTTGGGGTCTGGCCCTGTTAGAAGACCCAGAACCACCTTTGCCTCTCATTGCTGAAGCCTTCAGGGCATTCATGGAAGTAACTAATAAAAAGTTGGTCCGGAATTACGTTATCTCTATGCCACGGTGAGGAATTAAAACCCAGCCCATGTGTCAGGCCTTTTATTATCTCCTATTATTTAAAGCAGCTGCAGGGTCAAATCTGTCTGTCCTCGTAAAATCCTAAAGCGGTGAAACAGGGGTGGTTTCATTTGGAAAAGGCCCCAGAAAGGCACTTTTCCTCCCCAGTTTATACCCTATGGCACTGAAATAGACCTATAATTAGTAACTGGGGAGGGGAGAAACCTCTGCAGCACCTGGAGACAAGCCAAGATCTATTTATGGCAAATAATTGACCAGTGCAAAGACTGCTCCATCCTGAAGAAAATCAAAAGCAATGCTTTTCGCTTTGCTTGCATGCTTTTGGTTGTGAGGTGCATTGGTTTTTTTGTTGTGGGTTTTTTTTCCCCAGGACACTAGGAATACAGAACTCTTCCATCATTGCAACTTGTCAGCTTTTGTTTTTCCTTCAGGGGGGGAAAAAAGGGTGGAAATAGCTATTTCAGCCTTTCAGAGTGACCTTCTCCAGTTCAGTGTTTGGGATGCTTTCAAGGACAATTTTTCGTTTATTTTGAAGCTTCTAGAAAATAACTGTGTGCAGGAACAGCTCTGCGCTAAATAAGACACTCACTTTGTGTTCTGATAGTTCTTCACCCGCCCTGGTCATAATATTCCGGTTTTGAAAATCCAGACCCAGGAGTTGTGCAATAACATTGGAAGACAGCAAATAATCTGTATATTTGAATTGGTTTTATAGACCAGCTTGGCAAAAGCTGCTTCCAGGGGATTTTACTTTGTGAGAAATGTAATAGATGTTTTAGTTGTTTGTGCATTTTTACACAAGTGCAATCTGTCTCAGTTTTCAACACAGCAAACACTGATTATTCCTCTGTATTTCCTTATATTTTGAGACAAGTCATATTATAATGGCTGATTAAAGATGAAACCAAAAGGGAGGGTCATTGCTTTAAATTTAAACCCAGTGTGAAGGCTATAAATTTAAACCACTTAAAATAATAATGGAAAACTCAGTCTTCGTGAGTTTTGCTTTGCTTGGGTGTAAGCTATTTACCTTTGGAGCAACATTTTCAAAATGTTCATCTCAAGAGAGGTTTTATTATGCAACGAGGAGAAAATGTAGCTTTTCATCCTGTAGCATTCACATCTGAGTATTTTCCATCGTGCTGTCACAAGAGTAACTTCTGAGAGCCGTGTGGGTTTGGGTCAGAGATCTCTGGATAAAGCCACCTTCTGCTGTTAACTCACACTTCTTCATCACGGTTACTTTGCAGGTTGAGGAACTGAATTTTTTGAGGCTTTGATAATGAATTGTCTGGTTCCTTTAAGAAAAAAAAATAATCTGAATATAATATTTAGCGTTCTTGAAGCATTTTAAGTCATGATGTATTCCCACTGGAAGATGAAGCCTCACACTTCCCGCTTTGGGCACTCCTGCCTTTATTTTATCATTTTCATGGTACGCTACATTCTACCACTATCTCAAGAAAATTGAAAACGTATCATTTGGTTTGAAATGTTACGCAGCAGTTAAGAAATTTATTTGCTAGCGTGTACCTAAATGACTGTGATGAATGGACTGTCCTACACGTGTAGATAGTAAATCTATCATCAGCTTAGGGCAGTAAAGCATGGAAGGTTTCTCTGTACTATAAAACCATTCATCTTCTTTACAGAAACTGGCTACGTAAAGATAAGCCTGTAGAGAATTAATTGGTGCAGATGTCCATTAATAGCAAAATACTCTTCAAAAAAATTTTTTTTAACTTATATTTTATCAAAAGTCTGTGTTTTTCTTCTTTCTGATTCTGGTGTTTTCTGGTCAGTGGTACGATACCAACGGTCTGCTGCTGTGCCATCAGTCTGAATAACGCTGTCATTGCAGTCTCTCCAAGTAGTTTTATTGTAGTTATTATGTATGAAATTTACTGTGTAAGTATTCTTGATGTTTGGTTGCTTCCTCTGGTTGCTGGAGCTGTCAGATGCAGTGTCTTTTTATCAATTCAGTATGAAATCACAGCTGCTGAACTCTATAAACATTAAACATTCATAATTGAAATGTATCATGGGCATTGTTGGATATAATATTTTTTTTTTATAATGTGCCTTTAGCTATCTTGCAGTCATTTCAGGGAAACAAAACATATAAATGACTTTGTCTACCAGCAGTTCTGTTTGCCCACTCCCCCCACTCCCGACAAAGGTAGTATGTAAATAGAAGGGGTTTTTCCTCCCCCCTCATCCTGCTCTTTGAATATATTCCAGATAATTTCAAGCCATGCCAGCTTGCATGCTTTAGAGCTAATTGAAAGGCAAATCTGTTCTGCTACAGTAAACAAGGCAAGAGAAATTTTCTCCCTGAACCACAGTTTCTAAAACAATTTCATGTCAAATCTTGGCTCAAATAATCAACGTGTGTGCCCCACAAACAGGCTCTGGCTCCTATAGACAGATCAATACAGTCCAGCTCTTTAATGCTTAAAATGTTGATCCCTTCAGGGGACAGTGCCACGTGGTGCTGGCAGGATTTCTTTCACGAAGCTGGGTTTGCTCAGCACACGGGTGCTGGGATGGTCGCGGCTGATGGTGAGGGGCAGCGAATGTGTTTATCCTTAACGGGAGGATTTTGTGTTTTGTTATTTCAGGCGACCAGAAGAAACGGTCTTGCGGATAAGTCAGAAAAGCTTTGAGCTCTTACTGTACTCCTTTCCAGAAATAACGTTGTTGTAATCACCCTGAAACAATAGGTTGGGGATATTTTGGGCAGTTGCTGACTGCTTGTAGAGCTCCTTTTCAGAGGCTTCCTCAGGAGCCAGAATTTCAGCCCCGGTCTCTTCCCTGGTCCCTCCCTTTAACTGTGAGGTTGTGATCAGTCCAGCTGGCGCTGCAGCCCAGCTGCTCTCGGGTTTGTGTCTTCACATTTTCGGGCGGGAGCCGTCCCTTTGCTTTGCACCTGGCTGTAGTTTTGGATAAAGCATCCAAAACTTGCTCCTTAAACCACAGACACAAGGCTTAATTTCTGGCATGTCTTATGGCTTATGCCCTCTGTCTAATTCCTGTAGAAGACGAAGAAATTGCTGAGGTGACCAAGTCTCCTGCTCCTGGTCAAGTCCTTGAGCATCCTCCTTGCTGCTCAAGCCTAAAGACGTTTTCTTTTACACGCATATTTTCTGTGCCCTTCCATTCCTTTCATCACCTCCTTCCTTTAGAGTCCTGTGCTGACTTCAAAGCAAAATTCTGATGTTCAATGCTTGATCTCAGCCCTGATTATTTTTTTTTCAATTATTTTTTCTTCCTTGACAAATTTCTGTCCAGTCCTTCATGCCTCTCTTTCCCTCTTTCTCAGTTGTGCAGGTACAAAAATCCTTCCCCTGGCAGCATTTTGCTGACACCACCCATCTGGATCTTATAAATTGGTGATGATAAGGAATTACATTTATTTAGTGGCCCTTGGTGGTTTCCAGCCTCTAGCGATGATGTGTGATTGTGTTGTTTGGAGCATCCTGAAAAGCCGAGATCTGCTTTTATTACCTGCCAACAGGTTGGACTGAGGTGTAACCTTCCCACGATCTCTCCGCCCCTGCTAAGCTGTGGCGTTACGTGGCGCATCTTTGCTCTCATGCTGACGATCACCTGGTGGTCTAGCAGTCTAGCAGGAGGGAAAAAAATTTTCTCTTTCTCGCACATATGCAGAAGAATAAAAAACTAATGTGTGTGCACCAAAGCACCGAGCTATGGTATTTCTGCACCGGAGAGCTCTCTTTTGTAGGTTTGGGGGGATCACGGTTTTTTTCTCTTGAAGCTCGTAGTTGTAAGGTAATTTTATACTGCTTTGAACCTGAAGTGATTTAACCAGGCATGTAACATTAAACCAGAGCGCTTTAATTGCTCGTTTCACTGGGAGGGATCCCGTAACAGCACCTATGAACCTCTGCAGCTTTCTTCTGCTTGTGAACTGGGATTGCAAATATTCTGGTGAAATTCGGACCAGCTGAGCCCTGGTGTGGCAGAGCTTTTGTCTTGGTATTCTGTGGACAGTAACACAAGCAGCTTGATGTCAGGACTGTCATCTCGTACTAGATTGTTCCTGTGTGACCAACTGTGGGTGATCCTGCTCTGGCAGGGGGGCTGATCATTTGAGGTCCCTTCCAACCCCGAACATTCTGTGATTCTGTGTGATCAGCGAGGGTGGTGAGAGCAGCCTGGCTGCAGCGAGGGTGACGCGGTGTTTTTGCCGCTTTTGGCTGTGAACCTCTGGGAGATGTGGATAGAGGACCGGGGATGCCATCAGCCCAGCAAAGAAAGTGCTGACAGGAATCAGTCAGCATATTCCCTGCCTCTTCTATGTCCCATGTGAGACTTAGTCCTAAAAAGTGGGCAATTCTATTTGTATGAAAGGTGGAGTGAAATGGAAACAAGGGGGAAATCAGGTTTTACCGCCTTGTGAAATGAGCTCTGAAGAGCTACCCTCTGTGTAGCGACTTAGGACTTTCTTAATGAATTTCTGCAGGTGTCTGACTCTTGTTTGAAAGCAGCTGTGGGATCTCCCTCTCCCTGTCTTGGTGGAGGAGAATGATGGGTTTTGCTGTTTTCTGCCCAGCTCGGACCCCTGCCCTCAGTTGCACGTGTTGCCTCTTTGCCATCTCTTTGCCGGAGGAGCCCGGGTGGCACCCGCAAGGTGATTTCATCTTCTGAATAGCAGCGGTTAATAATATCAGCCCCTCAATTGGCTCTGGCAGGTTAATGGGAATACTCCCTCCCTTTTCTCTCTGCTTTATGCTCTCCCTGGCTTGAGTAATACCGAAGCCAGGCAGGAGGTCTCCGGCGTCGCGCACTTGGCTGCGCGCCTCGGGCACTACGAGCTCCGCTTCTCTGGTCAGGTTTGATTTGGAGCTGTGTAAAGCCTCAGACGTGCTTAAAATGAAAACGGGTTTTATTTGCACAAAGCAAAAGGGTTGAGGTGCGGGTACAAAATGGGAATTGTAATTGTAAAGCAAAGGCGTTTAGAAAGCAAGGAGAAAGCAAGTTTAAGATCAAACTCTACGTGACACAAGCCCGTAGTCTTGCGTAATCTTTGTGTTCAGTTTTTCTGTGCCTCATCCCAGAGAGAGCTCCCCATAGCAGATATGTCTGAACTTGCCCAGTGATAATTCAATGGTTTCGGTCATTTGAGGGTGGGTGGTGTTGGCTGTCAAGCCCCAGGGCTAGACAGGGAAGAAATCACCACTAAATCTGGCTACTGCGGAGTTAATCTGAGCAATTTGCTTTTTCTCCATTCCCGTGGTAAATGTTTTCTTCTACTGTGCTGTTTTAATTAGAGTATTGGTTTTCATCAAACTGCCTTTCCTCCCCTGCTCTGTTTTCTGGACTGATGTGATACTGTTGGTCATGGATTTTGAAATATATGCTATATTTCTGGTATGCCTGTCTTACTAAATACCCCAGCTTTCAAGTGTAAGGACCCATCACGAGCATCGCTCTGGCCCTTTACAGTTTATTCTTGCCCCGTCTCTTAATTTCTGAAAGTGGAAGAACTGGGTGCAACACCAAAAAAAAAAAAAAAAGGGGCATGAATGGGGCTGCTGGGCAGAGGAGGAGATGTTTCTGTATGGCTTCTCCTCATACAGTGTCTTCTCATTTTGACTGCCAGAACATCCGTGTGGGTGAGGATCAGGCTCGCAGATGGTTTTGTTGAGCAAGGGCAGAAATCAAAATCTGTGCAATTCACTCCAATCTTCCTCTTACGCGTATTCTTTTGAAATAACTATGGTCATATTTGACATTGCTGGAAAAACCTAGTGTTTTAATTAAAAACTCAGGTTTTGAGGGGTCCGTAATTTTCAGTGTTAATTTGGAGAAGGCTGAAACTTGGCAGATGCTGAGCCAATTCCAGGATCTGGTCTGCAGGATCCACATCTAACAGCAGCATCAGGAGATATGATATTTCCTAGCGTTAAAATGTTGTGTTCTAATTCCTTCAGTTACTGCTGCATGTTTGGAAACTTCACTGCTGGTGACAGTGAAGCATCTTTTGAGTGGCTGCTTTGTCTTCTCAGAGTCCAGAGATTTGGTGTTTGTGTTAAGGATTTCAGCCACAGACCTCAACATGGAGCAATTCGTGAATTAATTGTTTCAAATTAATATACAACAGAGTTTGGAAAAACAAAATAAGGAGGAGTTCCTGTTTAATTCATTCTCTATCATCTTATCGAGGTTGACTTTTAAAATTTTTTGTGTTGCCAAATCACGGGATCCATGATGTCTTCAAAATTAGCACATCCATTCCAAAGGGAACAGGATTTTTGCATTTAACTGGTAAAATGCAGCAGCTTGGGAAGCGCATCAGGAGGAGTGAAAACAAGGAGATCCACGGCCTTTCTGTTCCAGGCTAGAAATGCACCGATAAGGCCGTTCAGTGGCAGGGGAGTGCTGAAGCTGGGGTTCAAGTTTGGAGTGACCACACTTCTTTGAGGTGGCTTCGATCCCTGTTGAGAGTGGTGGTGAGAGGTCCCTCGGGATATGAGTTTCATATTTTGACTCGTCTATGACTCCAAATTCTTTATTTCAAGGACATAATGGCTGGCCGGCATGCAGACTAAACCTGTGTGTGCTTTTCTTTCAGATGGTCCTACCACGACTTTTTCAACAGGTATCGTGTTCTTATGAAGAAGAGAGACCTCTCTAAGAATGACAAGAAGCAGATCTGTCAGACCCTGTTGGAAGACCTCATTAAGGTGAGCTGGGACCACATCTCTGGTAATGATTTTTACAACGTGGAATCTCTTGATTGCGGTCAAGCTGAACATGGTTTCAGTGCGAATGAAGTCCAGAGTTCGCTGTTGCTGGCTCTACGTGAACCAACTGGCCACGTTTAGAAAATTTGTCCACCCACAACCCCTCCTCTTGGCTTTGGTTAACCAAAGCTGGAGCACATTCTAGAGGCCTGGATTGGGCAACATAGTGAAATTTAGTCAATCATTAAATGCCTCTTTGCACAACTGAGTAAGAGATCAATGTCATAAATGCCCTATATTGATGTATGTGAGACCTTTAGTAGCCACTAATACGTAGAAGAGGCATCCCATAGATTGGGACATTTTTCCCTTAAGCAAATAATAAGTCTTTGCTACCTCTCCTCACCAAAACGTTACTATTCAGATTTATGTGCAAATGTGCACGTTGAGTTTTTTTCCTGTTCTTTTGCCGCTGAGCAGCACAGAATATGCACTACGCCTTAAACCTGGTTTTAATTTTCGATCTCTGTTTTACTCATGGGGTTTTGATGAATTTACTCAACTGAATTTCTCTCTGCAAAGGCCGTTCTCCTAATGCACCAAGTATTTCCCTTTGCAGCAGAGACTTTGGCAGTGCATGTATGACTCTGCAGATGTAGGCCTTAATCTTTCTGAGAGAGAGATCTTTTCTTGAAGTCCTCTGATACTGCATTGCTCTGTAAGAAAGAAACCCACAAAATGCAAAAATGATTCGAAATTTGTGTAAATGTACGGAATGTAAGACGGAATCCTAGCACAACATTCCTTGATGGTTGTATAGAAACTTAGGTGGTTTGTAATCCAGTAGTATCTTGATCACCCAGTTAAGTGGAGATGTGAGCCGAGCTGATAAATTTGATTCAGAGTGTTCTATTAAGTCTGTATCTACTGATCAACATAGACTGAAGAAAAGAATAAAATGTTTGCCTTAATTAAATTTAGTTTCCTTTATGCTTTTGAAAAGGATCCAGACAAGTTCCAGTTTGGACGTACCAAGATCTTTTTCCGTGCAGGCCAGGTGGCATATCTGGAGAAACTACGAGCAGATAAGTTCAGAGCTGCCACCATCATGATTCAGAAGACGGTGCGGGGCTGGCTGCAGAGGGTCAAGTACAAAAGGCTGAGACAAGCTGCTGTCGTCATCCAGCGCTACACGCGTGGGCACCTGGCACGGAGGTGGGTCCTAGGAAGCCCTCTGAGGAAGGGCTGGCTGGGAGGTCAAGCGGAAAAATATTTTTGAGCGCTTCGATTTCCAATCTGTTCCATCTTGAATGCTTGCAACCTGAGCATTTCTTATGAGAAACACTGAAAGTTCGTTGCGTGGGTTGTTGCCTTTTGACCTCATGAAAACAAGATCCGTCTTGCGCACGTAGGTACCGGTGTGGTGAAAGTTTCTGTGCTGAAGAGAGAAGACATTCCTGGCCCCTCTCTCTGCCTTTGTTTGTGGGCAAGAGATCAAAATTCTTTGTCTCAATTTGGTTTTCGTATGTACATTAATTTTATGTGCTGGACCAGGGTTATAACGTAGGCAGCTAGGTTATAATCAGATGGCTGAACAACTCTGAGACGTTTAGGTGGGAGCGTTTCGCAGAACTAATAGGGACTAGCCCTGGCAGAGGACATTTGGATGGGCCAGCGAGCACTTTGCTGGTTGTTATGCGCTCCTTTTCTGCAGCGACCAGGTTTGTGCCTCCTTGGCATCCAAGAATTGATTTGCTGTATCCTCTGTAACGAGAAAAATCACTCCCAAATCACTGCAATGGGGCTGTTTACCATACAGAGCAGCGCTCAGCAGTCTGCTAAGAGAAGCTGTGGTGTGTTAGCCATGTGGTTTGGTTCTGGGCAGCAGTGTTCACCTGGGCTCTGAGCTAGCATCCTCCCATCAGAAGTGCTGCTTCCTTATCAACTACCTGGTTAATTCCACGCTTGGGCAACACTGGGTGCTGCCTATATGCTACAGGGCACCTGCACAGTCCCTTCTTCACTCCTGGTTGCTGGATGAATGTTGGTTTCTATCAGTTATTGGGGCAACTAGGGGTTAAGAGCTTCCACATACTGTATTTTGGAAGAACTTCAGAGATGCTCACTGAATTTCTGGTATTTGTTGTGCTTGTGAAAGGGATTGGTGGCATGGAGAAACCAGGGATAAGAAGGTCTCAACTAATCAAAGCTGGGCAGTTTGATGACTTTTATTTAAAACCAAGAGCAGGATTGTCTTATCCTCAGAGGTCCATGTACTTCTCTAGGTTCATGGTTGTGGGCCCCACTTGGCACTCTTACAGGCCCTTGAAGACAAGGCAAATGAGACCTAAGCAATAAGAGGAAGGTGAAGAAAAAAGAGAGTCGGTGATTAAGTTGAGCCTCTTTGATGGGCTCTCCATGCATACTATAAGACGTGGACATATATAAATATTTGACTTTGCGTCACCCAGCTGTCCTGCTAGTGAGGGGAGAGGGGGATCCTGGTGATGTGCGAGGTGTGAGTTAAAGAGAGGATGGAAGCCGATGTACCAAAACCACATGCTGCAGGGTTTCCTCAGCGTGGCTTTTCCAGTTCACCTCTTCGTGCAGGTTTCATGGGGTGAACGTCATCTGAGTAACTGCTTTCTCCTCTTTTTCAAAACAGACCATCCCCTCATCCTCACTCTGGTTCGCTAAATCCTAACGAGAAACCATCATCCTTGACAAAGAGAATATATAAGCAAATCCGATATGGCTCTTTTAGTTTTGGTATGCTTTTCACAAAATAAAGAAGTGGATGAAATATCTGTGTAATGCTTCATGCTGAGAGCAATAAATTAATCACAAATTCAGCAAAACAGGCTAATTATCGAATTAAATGGAGGTTTTATGGGCATTTATTAACCTGTGTAACGGCAAATTGAACATTAATTCAGCTGGAGAGTGGCAGCAACATGGCACGGAGTTGACCACATCCCTCATTATTTTTTCTCTGTGAATTGCCTGGGGCTCTCCTTGTGAATGTTGCCAAACCAGTGCACACCAGTTTAAATGTCAAAGCAATTTGCTGCCGTTTTCACTGAGTTGGTAGATACCCTGCGCGACACTTGCTTTTTATCGTTAGGGAAGTGATGGAGCCCACTGGAACATTGATTGGCTCAAGTATGTAAAGCAGAGAGTTCAAACCAAAGGAAAGGCTGGAGAATACTTGTTTTTAACGCTGTTTAGGAACAATGAGGCATCTTGATTTCTGTTTCCAGCACTCCTGGGTGCTGATTGCACACACGTTCCCATTATTCTAATGGAGACGTGCTATCAGCCACTCTCTTCTTAGCCCTGCTGCTGGGGCGGTCTTTCTTGAATACCCTCAAGCTGCTTTCGGGCAAAAGGTTTTTATATGTCTGGTTTAAATCTTATTATGACAAGAAAGAGGAGGAAGTTAGTTCTGCTGCTCACCCTTTTCCCTGTGCTTTGCAGGCTTGCCGAGCACCTGAGGAGGACAAGAGCTGCCATCGTCTTCCAGAAGCAGTACCGAATGCTGCGGATCCTCCGAGCTTTCCAGAGGGTCCGCAACGCCACCGTCACCATTCAGGCTTTTGCTCGAGGCATGTTTGTCAGGAGGCTTTATCACAAGGTACATTAGAAAAGAGCAAGAAGAGCCTTTCATGTTTACCTCCGCTGGCGCGGCGTGGCAGCGATGCGTTTGTTGTGGCCGTTTTGATGTTTCACGATGCCGACTGCCTCTGGTGTTTCTGGAGAGTGCACGGCGACGGCGAGCATTGCCATTTAAAGCTGTGCAAGCAAAAATGATTTTGGCAGCAGCGCCTCAGCGGAGCAGCTAAATGAAGTTAGTCATTTGGATGCCGGAAGGCATTGTGCAAATCTGGAAATGTCATTTGATCTAACCCAGACTCTGCAAAAACCTCCCTGGCAAACTGCATTTGTGTCTGAGCTATGCTGCAGGTGCTATCTCTAGCACGGTAGGAAGACCAGTAGGGTCTGTCGTGGAAGGCATCAAGTCATTTATTGATATAAATGGCTCTTTAATTAGTTCTCTCCATTAGCTTTCTCTGTTAAACCAGGAGCTGAGAGCAAGGAAGTAAAGGTTTGATGACAGCAAGTGGTACAGCGAGAAATCTCTCAGGAAACTGAGAATGGCTTTGGGGAGTCTTCTGTCCACTCCTCAGATTCAGCCTTACTTTGGTAGTCACCTAATTTTGTGCCTGGTTGTGGTCATGGGGATACTGGAAGAAATCAGAGGCACGATGAGCCAGGAGGGGAGACCCTGTACCTGGAGATGATGGAGGTTGCCTGAACACCTTTGTGACCCGCCAAGAGAGATGCTGGTGGTCAGGAATTTGTCTATTTCAGCATCTGTTCTTTAAATCAGAAGCCTCCCCGGGGAAAGCAGCTGGTCCAGCATTTAAACCCTCTGAGATTCAAGGCAACCCAAAATCTTAACAAGGTGTACAAGATGACTGAAAATCTGAACGTCCTTAATTTCTGGAGCACCTGGGTGCAGGTGTCAGTTCAAGTGCAGATGCAGGGCTGCAGGTGATGCCCTGTGGGGTCAGGGCATGCCTAGTGCCCACCAAGATGTCGCTGCACGGCTGGAATAGGTCCCCAAGGCATAGGACTTCTTCTAGCAGTTGGACTTCTTGTAGCTTTTGGGGCACCCTCAGCTTTCTCCATCTGTCAGAGTGCCAGGGCTGATGACATACAAAACTTATTTCAGTTTAAATCCTGCTACATCCTAAGTTCACCCAATCACTTTATTCCAAGTTAAAATTTGCAAGTGCGAAGAAAGCCTTAGGATGAAACAAAAGATTTTTGAGAGAAGCTGATATAACTTTTGTGATACAACTTATCCCAAACTAATAACAGCAAAGTGTTTTGTAGTATTTAAATTCTCCTCCTGTTTCTTTCCTCATAATACTGCAGCATACATCAGCGTAAGAAAGTAATTAACAACATGCTGATTGTATCTGTGTTATGTCAGCCTTCAGTTTTAGAGGAAAAAATTGAACTATCACCTACCGAAAATATTGCTGTAAATTTCTGGGAGGAAGTTCAATGCAAAAGGGACAAAGTTTCACAAAACCAGCTATAAATTTCTAGAAATTGAGTCATGCAAGAGAACTGAAAGGACTCCTTTATTTTGTTTGAAGGTTATCCACATGACAAGAAATCCCAACAGGACAGAATTTATCTGCAGTATAAATTATCATAACGCAGAAGTGTAACACAGGGAAAAAAAAAAAGTCTACAAACCTGTTGAGGTGTGAGTTACGCCTGATGCTGAAGGGCCAGTCAGTTTGTTGCAGACTGTTGGTGTGTCTGTTAATGGCTATTTATTCTGCCGGCTACAGATCTTCTTGATCTGCTCGGTACTGTTCTGAGGTGGCCCATGAAGTCTCACCTGGGGGTGAGATGTCCCATGCAGATGTCCTGTGTCCCCATCGAGTCCTGTGGTCACCAGCCAGGATCTCGTTCCCTCATTTCACTGGTCAGGCAGGTCTTGACTCTTTTTAGAGAGCAGAGTAGCTCTTAAGAGAGGATTGGATGTGTCCTGCCTTCATCAGTTGAGCACAGTGACTGGATAAAACCCCAGGAGAGGGGGTGGAAGCTCTCCCTCTTGTCTGTGAAGCAGGATGCAAAATAGCCTCTATCTCCAGCCATCACCCTCTGCACCTGCCAGACTGTGGTAGGAGCAGGAGACTTGGAGGAGCATCCCTTTTGAAGGCGGTTTGGGTGGTGTGGAGTGCCGTGTTGCAGCCAAACCGGAGCTGTCACCACTTTTACGGGTGACTTTTCTCCCTTGGTCATCCCATTTCTTGCACGTGTGTTGCAGATCCTCGCGGAGCACAAAGCTACCATCCTCCAGAAGTACCCCCGCGGCTGGCTGGCCCGCACTCGCTTCCGCCGCGTCAGGGGTGCCACCATCGTCCTGCAGTGCTACTACCGACGCATGAAGGCCAGGCAGGAGCTGAAGGCGCTGAAGATCGAGGCCCGCTCGGCACAGCACCTGAAGAAGCTCAACATTGGCATGGAGAACAAGGTGGTCCAGCTTCAAAGGAAGATCGATGAGCAGGTACGTCCTGAGCTGTGCTGGGACAAGTGCGGTTCTGCTTTGTCTTTCTTCTCCTGTCCCTCCTAGGAAGGATTTTATCTTCCCAGGAATGTCTTGGAAGGGTGTCCTGGTGGTGGCAGCCTTCTGTTACTGCTGGCCAGAGGCTTGTGGGGGTGGGAGACCACCACAGAAGTGCAGATTCGCTGGGGTGCTGGGCCTGAAGAGCTTGGTCAGCAAGCTGCAGAAACTGCATTGTCATTGTGAGAACTGCACAGAAGCACTTAGAGGAGGAAGATAAAATGGCAGTTTTGAAAGCCGTTGCTTGAAAAGCCAGGCCAGCTCCCTGTGTCCAACAGGCTTTGGGATGGATCGTCCCGTTATTCTTTCTGCTTTGCAAGTGCTGAGGATGCAGAGGGTCTGCCACAGTTTGTTATATGGAGCCATGGTGTCTTATGGGTCAGTGTTACCTAGGAGGTAAGCAGTAAATTGGGTAAATACTGACTTTGCAAAGTAGTTGGAGCATGTTTGCATTACTGGATGTAGCAACTGCCCAGAAGCAAGAGCCATGGTGGGGCCTGGGACAGCGTGGTACGAGTGATTTATGCCCCTGTCGACGGTTTGATGGTCTCAGTGTGATGACTTGATCAAATGTCACTTGCCATTAATGAGCTGCAGGATAACAGTTTGAACACACACTTAGGAGGAGGGGTTTTCCACCTACTGATATGTAACTGATGGGTTACTCTGATCATAACTAACAAGTTACTGTGTTAAATATGCTCTATGTCACTTCCTAGTGCTGTACAAGGACTTCAGGGATGAATGTGGGAAGTACTGAGTAGGGCAGTTGTATCCACTAATGTTAATGGAGAAAAGAATATCCACCCACATCCTTAAAATGCCCTTTTACAGGCAGCAGAAACATTCTAAGTCAGGATCCTTCTTCCTGGTAGTGCCAGTTGTTAGTAACTGCAGTTTACGATTGGGTTTGGGATGTTGTCAGAAATGCTTATACATCACACGTGGTTTCCTCGCTGCCTTAAATCTCTCCCGTCCCCGCGTGACACAAGAGATCCTGCCATGAAGAAGATGAGAAATGACTCTGCCTTGGCTCAGATACTGCAGAGTCGAGACACCCGGGGATTTGCATTACTGCTGGCCGCGTTCGTTGCGGTATTAATTGGCTGCAAAGGGTGCACCGCAGCAGCGTCTGGCTTTTAAACCGCTGCATTTAATTGTAAAGTGCCTGCCTGCATATTTAGATTTTTCAGACAGACTGTAGCTTGGGAAAGGGAAAACTTAGGTGTGGGGTTTTCTATATATTTATGTGTATCAGAAACCTGTTTGATGTGACTCTTCCTCTAGAAGGTATTTGGTGGAATTAATGAGGACGAGTAATTTCAGATCCATATAGTTGAGCTGGACTTGTGCAGTGAGCGTGAACATCTGCCTTAGGTCTGCTGAGCTGCTGGACTTGGCTTCTGAGCAGCAGTATTAATTTATTTTTTTAGGTTTTTTGTGTTTGTTTTGTCATTGGTGGTTTGTTTGTTTTTTTCCCCCAATTCCTTGCCGTCTACTGCTAGGAGAAGTGCGTGGGTGGAACAATAGAGATTAAACAGTCTTTGGTTAATGTTGGGTTTCCTGTTGTGGATGATACAAGCAGCGGAAGAGTCTGCTGCTGGGGAAGGAGACATGGAGAGCTTTTAAGCAGGCGGAAATAACGGGCTGGAGCTCATCTTCATGTCCCTTGCTGTCTGCACAGACTCTGCTGAAGGAGTCGCTTTGACGCTGTTTAGCTTTTGCAGGAAAGAATTGCTGCTCTGTGTTGCTCGTGGTAGTCTGTCCAGTGAGGTAATTTTAACCGTTGTTTCAGGACTGACATGTTTGCCTGGGATGCTTTGGAAGTGCCCAAGAGCACTGTTCCAGCAGTTTTTCCTTTCAGTGCACTGGATTTTAATTTTTTTTTTTTCAGGCAGCAGCGAGTTTGTTGCATCGTGTTTTCCGTGAAATGTCTCGATTTCAGTCCTTGCTAATCTATAAACACGATCTTCCAGAATACCAGTTAGCTTTTTAAAGAAAAAAGAAAAAAAAGAATAAATGACAGGTAACTAGGGGAGCTGCAGTTGTATCAGTTTCTCACTAGCCATGGAAAAAAATGTATTTTTGATACTTTCTCTCGTGCATGAATAGAGACCTGCAATACTCTGTGTGCCCCTGAGGAACAGAAAATCTTTCTTTGAAAACGGGACAACCTACTCTTACATGTCATCCCCAGCTCACGCGCTCTAGCATCCATCGGTGGGCCTATTTAATTCGGTTTCTAAATCAGGTGAGGGATTTTTTTTTTGCGCATGGAAGGAAGGTTTAAAACTGTTTTGCTGCAAAATATCCTCACTGGGCCACTTTCCTCTATCCACATTGGACCAATTGCCTCTTTTTCCCAAATTCTTTTCAGTCAAGAGAGTTTTTTTTAAATGTGCGTGTTATAGCTGCCTGAGATGCTGTTAAGGCTGTTACCTAATGCAGTGTTATGTGTTCCTGCAGCTAATATTTAGAGTCCCAGCGAGCTCCTTACTCTGTCTCTGCAGGCACCAGTAGCTCCGTGAACATTTATTGTGAATAAAAGTAGTTTGGGTGACAGGCGTGATGAAGTTGTTGTCTCTGCCGTTGGTGGCAAAATAAACTTGAGATTGGTTCACAGACCTTGGGTTGAAACCAGGACTGTCCCAGCTCTGCTGGGCTGGGTAATGATTTAAAATAAAGCCAAGCTGAGGTTTAACGGGGTGTGTTGAGCAATCTCTCACTGCAGCAGCGAGCAGCTGTTTCATGGGAGTAAATGCTCTCTAGTAGCTAATAACAAAAAAGAAGGATAATTTTAAAAAAAAAAAAAAGCATTCCTGTGCATTTATCTTGTATCTGGATTGAAATTGTGGTTGTCTGGTATGTGAAATGATAAACCCTGGGATACAGAGCCATAAAACGCTGTGTGTTGGAGAACCAGCAGGGGCTGGGGGAGGTAAGTTTGTGAACCAGGGTGGTCACTGCTGTTCTCTGCAAAGGTTTTCTCTCCAGATGGGTCTTTCTGGAAATGACTTTGGTCACGCGGAAACATTAATCCATTTAACGCCACGCGAACACCGAGTTTTGGCGTTTGCTAGTAATTCATTCCAAAGGAGCAAAGGAAAAGGTGTTGGAAGTCCCTTGTTTACTTGGTTTTCCATCTGAGGTGTGACTGGGCCTTGCTTCGGAGCACTGAGACCGCGGTGAGAGAGGGTGTTTTGGGAGGTCACCTCGAGAGGGGCCAGAAGGGTAGTCAGAGCGATGGTGAAAGAGACGGTCCTACAATCTGCGTTGGGAGTTTAAAAGAGTCTAATCTGAAGTGTAGATGGAGATTTCAGTATCCAGTCGCTCACCATGAATTGTGCAGGGGCCTGTCTGGTCTGGAAGAACCTCTGTAGACCTAGAAAAGGAAATTCTCTACTTTTGTGGGTGTGTTTTTTTCTCTTTCAGGTTATAAAGTTCAGGGAAAACGTACTTGTAGTGGAGCTAATGGGAGCCTCTGACATAGATAGATCATGCTTTTTCGCAGCTTTTTTGTTTTTCCTTGCTTACTTGACTCTGGTGAACATCTTAGGGCAAGAAGTTGCATCTCAGGATGTGTGACTTTGCATCTTTGTGGCTTATCCTGACCAGTCAAAAATGTATATGAGGACTTCTCTTTTTAAAGATGATACATTAATGTTTTCTAGCTTTTTCATCTCGAGCTTTTCTGAACCTCCACATCAGCTAAAAACTTCTGGGTGAAAGGAGCAATTTCTCATGAGCTGATGTGACTCTGCTGTTGACTAAAGCTCTGAGAAGCAGCAAAAGGCCGAGTTGCCGATTACCAGGACAACAACCTCCTGTCAAATCTTTTCCAGGAAAGACCAGAGCTCGTATTTCTGATACATAAGTGAAACACCCACCAAAGTCCTGTTAAGAAAGGAAAGCCTTTTGGATCTGTTGTACAGTGAGCCCCAATCTTTAAAAGTGAAAGCTTTCAAAAAGGGAACTTTAAAAAATACAGACTGCAGTTTAAATTTCAAAACGATTCTTTTGCTCTCATGATTATCCACCTAATATTAGCAAAGCTACTTAGTCTTGCTATCTGTAGCTCTTGGGCTGTTGTGATTTCACTGTTGTCTCTGGGGCTGGCCAATAATAATGATATTTTATTAGTCACAGCATAGTTCCCACTAACTGTGATTTGAACCACAAAAATCAAACGAGGCTGCTGAAGTTTCAGGTCTTAAAGCTTGGGAGCAAATCATTGCTAAGTGCTACAAAAGAGAAAATCTGAAGAAATGAAAAGGCAGTTGAGCTGACACATGACCGAAAGCTGGGTTTTAGGGAGCTCTTTGTGCTCGAGGCAGCAATTATGCTACAGTGTGTTGTCACTCCAGGTTCCTGCGGGCATGGGGGTCAGGAACAAAAGGATAAACTGCAAACCCTGTATTACAGGCACACAGAAAAATTGCAAACCAGTTGTATTAAGCAGCACTCTTTGGAAGCTGTAATAAAAGTGTATTTTTCCTTCTTCTGGTTGCCAGTGCTACCAAGCATCGTTTGCATTTGTGTCGAGTGTAATGTCAATTTAAGTACTTGTATAATTGTTACCAAAATGTAATTGAGCTTCTGTCAGAGTTTTGAAATTGTTTTCAGTTTTTGAGCACTTTACCCACCATGCCCAAGGATTTCTAACTGTTACTTTTGTAGTGTGTCAGTGCATGGATCTTGCTGATGGACTTTTTTCCTTCTTTTTGGGATGTTGGCTGCAGAACAAGGAGTACAAACTTCTGAACGAGCAGCTCTCTGTGCTCACGTCTGCCCACTCCTCCGAGGTGGAAAAGCTGAAGCGGGAGCTGGTCCAGTATCAGCAAAGCCACCGGGGTGATGGCAACCAGCTTGTCAGCTTGCGAGAAGAGATGGAGCACCTCCGGCTGGAGCTTGAGAAAGCTCATGGTGAGAGGAAGGTTGTGGAAGACACCTACAGTAAAGAGAAAGACCTGCTGAAAAAGGTAAGTCTGTTTGTCATGTCCCATGTTAGTGGTCATGCTGGTGAAAGCTCGCCCTTCACAAGTCTAAAGCAGAAGTACTTAAAGAATAGAAATTAAGTCTATTTTTTTAGTTTTTGTCACTGAATGCCCTTAGAATTTGCCTGTGAAGTGGATCGCAGGGAGACTCCCAGTGGGAGCAGCAACTGCATGATGTTAGGAGGATGCTCCATCTTGATGCCTTTTGTGGTTGCCAACCACAAAGAAACTCCCCAAACACAGATACATCTGGAAATAAGGGTGCTTAATAACCAGAAAAAGCTGGTTTGCAGCAGTTACTCTAGAATAGCGCTCTCTGTGTGACAACCTGAAGGTAGGTTGCTTTTGGAGAATTAAAAAAAAAAAAAAAAAGTCTGGAATTACGTGCATTTTTATCATTGTGGAATAGCGACAGAGCATTTCACTCAGCAGACCTGCCCTGACCAACCTCCTGCTGTGGATGAACCCTTGGATAATGGTTTTGGGTGAGGACCTGTGGGGACTGTGCGGTCAGAATAACTCAATCTGAACCACCAGCGCAGCTGAAATGCAGTTTGGGATGTGTTTCTCACACAGGCAGTCATGCTACGCAAGCGTTGTCTTGTCTCTGACAGCTCTTGGTCCAGCCAAGCAGTTACTCCGCTCTCTTTGCGCGTGTGTTGCGATTGCACCCTCACAGGGACTTTTGGAATCGATGATTTTCTTTTCTCCAGCACCAAATTAGAAGATCCTTTTTGGCAGAGGGCGCAGTTCATTAGCTGGCTGCAGCACAGGCTTTTAGAGCCTGAAAGGGTGCTTTATTTTGAAGGTGATGCAGCTGAGGAGAGACTCCTTCTCTTTGTTCCTGATTGCAAATCCCCTTCGAGCACTCAGAAGAGAGGTTGATTTCACGACCAAAGAAATGCTTTCAAAAAGCATGAAAACAAAGCAAAAGCCTTCCCTTGTCGTAGAAATGCCTACAGCAAAGCAAATACTATGCACTTGACCGTGACAATAAATAGTTTAATTAAAAAACATAGCATTTCTACTACACAGTGCAGGCTCCCATTTGTGGCATAAGCTTGCAATTACTGCCTTCGGGTCCTTGTCGGTGGAAAGGCAGAGACCTGTTTCCTTCCTGGAAGCATTTGTTTAGCCAAAAACACTTTCTGCAAGATTTTTGAGTAGTTCTAATAACTGCCAAAAGCGTGAGAAGTGTCGTAAAATGAATTCAGATGAGAAGTGCTCTTCATCTTCAATACCAAGATTACACCATGGCCGTGGTTGTGGTAGGACGCCTTCGCTCTGGAGGTGATACCCCAAGGCATCACATACCTCTGAGTGAGACTGAGATGACAGCCTTAATTTTGTCAACTTGAGCTGGCCTTTTCTTTTTTTAATTTAATTTTTTTTATTGCAGCTTCTGCAAATCCATGTTAGTTATGATTTTGTGACTCAGAAAGCCCTTTAATCTCTTCCTTTTTAGCTTTTTTCACCAACTCCTTTATTTCTGAATAGTTACTGTTATTTCATTTTGTGGTAAAGTTTATATCAGCAGATTTTGGTGAGTACCAACAGCTCTTCCTAGGGCTTTCAGCTGTAATCATCTCACTTAGTGAGGTTGGGTGATTCAAAGCCGGGCAAGGAATTTTATTAGGAAAGTCATAAATGCCATCGTGCTTTTCTCACAAGTGTAGGGGAGTGCTGGCGACAGATCTCATGAGTGGGTTGTTCAGTGTAACACCGAAATGAGCCATCACGAGTGTTCACTGCTCAGCATCTTCCATAGAAATCCTTCAAAGCAGGTGCTGTTCCTTCTGAAGCACCTTCAAAGATCTGTTCCCCGCAGAAAGATGGGCAAGCGGTACAGAAAGTGGTGATGTAGGTGCCAGGGATGGGTTCTGCGCTGCTTAGCCACTGTGTAACCTGCTCTGCTTGCCTCTACCTGTGCTTAATGGACTGGTTTCATTCTCACTGGGTTTCTGTTAAACACAAATATTGAATTCCAGCTTGTTTCTGTTCCATGCAGAAACAGGAATTTGATAAACAAATTCAATCACTTAAGATTGCATCTTAAATATATCTATACCCAATCTGGATTAGAAATTTTTAAACTTGGGAGTAGTTGTTATAGATTCTACCAAGTCTTTCAGTTCCAAAATATCCCTCCAGCACAGTTGAAAATAGTCCCAAGTTTTTGTCTGATTTTATTTTCCAGCCATCATAGTTTTGTTGTCCGGGCAGAGGAGTTCATTATGAGCAGCTGTTAAAGAGCACTAGTAAAATAATCCCAGTGCCTTTAGTCTTGTCCCAGATGGGATGAGTCGAGTTCCTTGCTGTCCCATTGCAGCACGTTTGCCTTCCCTTCTATCACTCTTGCAGCTCTTCTCCAATTTTTTAAGAGTTCTTCCTGATTTGAGGACACTAGTGCAGTTCTAATGGCTGCACGTCTGCTGTGCTGTTAATTTGATGTGGTGGTGAAGGCATGCGATTGGTTTTGGGTGTAGAATATTAAAATCGTGGCTCAATTCAGAGCATTCAAAACACCATTAGCTCTGCGCACCTTAAACTGCAATTTCTTCGCTTTCTCTCTCCAGACTCCAGCTTTCCTACTATATATAAAGATGCAGGAGACTGCAGTCTCATGCAGGCAGCTGGAGCAAATGAATGAATCGGAGAGAGAAGGGTAGTGTGATCTTCCAGTTCTGTGCACGGGATGTGGGTGCTTCAGTCGTGACATACAGTAGAACAATTATTCTGCTTTTATCCTCGCCATACGTGTAGTGAGGATTAGTGTACCTGGCACGTGCAGTATTTGATAAAATACCTTGGTTTGAGCGTGCCTGCATGGAAGACTGAAGTCTGTGGTAGAGATGCCAGCCAGCTGGGCTGCCTGTAAATTTTATCTAGCGGTGGCAGCAAAATTATTATTATTGGACACCAAAAGCTTGTGTTTTGGTGTGTACAGTGTTGTTTGCCATCTTGGGATTCTTTGTGTAGCTGTTTCCTAAGCCCTGGCTGGAGGGGCTGGTGGAGCAGGCACAGGGAGGGATGTTACACTGGGATGATGTGTCGGTTTGTTCTCTTACCTGACAGGAGCAGAATCGTCTTGCTTAGCCATAGCAGCATATTTCACTTGGTAATGTGATGTTTTTGTGTTTTGAGGTAAAGATGTTGAATGCATCAGAATTGCTGGGGATGAAAAAAATTACGGGTTGGGTTGTTATCAGCATCAGTCCAGCCTTGTTGGACAAGTGGCCTCGATTCCCTTTGTTTTTAGTAAAGAGGTAGTTAAAAAAAAAGTCAGACAACTATTTTGCACAATTTAATTTTATTAATTTTTGCTAGACAGTCGTTGCTGTTAATTGCTATATATGCTTCTGTTACGTTACCAAAGGCTGTGTTACACACCATGCATCACTGTACTATTGGTTCTGCAGCTGTGTGGAGCATTAGAGTGACTATAATCTTATTACGGGAAGTACACACTAAGTTAAAAAAGCCTTAACTGTTCAGTGTTAGTGTCCACATTCACCGTGTCCACTTTTAGTGCCACATTGCTTGTGACAAAAGCAGCAGCTTTATTTTATTTTTTCCCCAACCGCAGTCAGCGCTGTGACTTGAAGATAGCGATGAAGCCCACTGAGATGTGGAAATACACCTCTGATGGGATGACCTGGTCACTCGTGGGGAGTGTCACTCCTGCAGGTCACGGTTGCCAAGTCCAGCTGCTCAGTATTTTGTAAGATTCTGCTGAAGATACTTATTTAAGGGAGAAATGTACTCAGGAAAACAAAAGTTAGTCTCTGTTGTTGCGGTGCAGTTCTCCTGCGCTTCAGCTCGTGATGTGTGCAGAGTAGCTGGAAGAGCACAAGGGGGTAAATCTTTTAAACAGCAAAGAAAACCCAAACAAAGCTCCCTGTCTCCAGCCGGGGGAAATGTAATCCCTCTGCAGAGGCTCTGACCTGCAGCAGGCAGTAATTCTTTGCCTCGTTTTGTAGCGCATATCTGACTTGGAGGAAGAAAATGCTCTCCTGAAGCAGGAAAAAGACGAACTTAACACCAGGATCCTATGTCAATCTGAAGGTAAGAAAAATTGCATACAGCATTGTAATGCCTCCACTAAATGAGGAGCTTAACTGTTCTCCCCTGAAAGTTGTTTTTCCTGCGTGCTTCTTCCTACCTTGGAAAGTGCTAACCTTCCCGCAGCCCTTTCCTGGTGGCTTTTGTCACTGTTTTGTTGTGCAGGGAGTCCCGTTCGTGCTGCTACCTGCTGGTGCATGGCAGGACAGAGCCTGCTTTAACTGGAGAAATATGGAATAAAGTACCAGAAAGGGCTTTCTGGTTCAGTTAGGTTGGAGCATTTGCTGCAGGTGGTGCTCAGGGTGGAGAGTAGAGAACAACAGCATCCCAGAATTGATGAAAAAGGATCCAAGGAACAGCACAGTTAACAATATTGAGCTGTGACAAAGGATTTCTCTAATGTGCAAGGAGTCTCTTGAGTTTTTTTTAAAGCAGAGAACTAGATGATGAGATGTACCATAGGCAGAGCAGTCTGGGAAAATTGCAAGCCACAAAAGAAACCACGCTATATGTATTGAGCTCTTTTATTTTTTTAGCATCTGTTTCAGGTTTGATTTTTGTTGCAGGATTTACCGAAAGTGTCATGTATCTTTCTGTGGATGTATCTATCATTGCTTCATGGTGCTTGTGAAGTACCTCTTGCTCTCAGCCTGATGCAAAATAAAAGAATGAAAATCACATGTTAAAAAAGAAACTTTAACTGCAAATACTTCCTCATCTCTTAGAGAGTGCTTTTGGGAACAGATTTGTGTCTCAAAGGCATTTTTTTTTAAAGAAAAAAATGTATATATTTGAATATAAAATACTTCCAACCCCCACAATCCTACCGTGGTAAATGGTTGATGATGACGTGGGAAAGAGACGCTGCAAGTGATTTGTTCAAGTACCAAATGTGGTGGTGGGAAGCAAGCAGAGAAGTCTTTAAGTGCAGCGAGTACCGAAGGCGCTTCATAAACACAAACGTATTTCTGTACCGTGCTGGTATTCTCTTAAGGGGGTTTATGGCTGGTCTGTGGGAGCTGGAGCTGGCACAGCTGAGTTACCTGTAATAGTGTAACAGATCTGGTAATATGTAGGTGCTGGCAATTTTTCTTTAACTCGGATGGCAGGGGGCTGTGCTGTCCAAGCAGAAGAGCTCAAGGTGTTCCAAGTGGTGAGGAGACAAATCTAGATTATATTGGTCCCTAAATAGCAGAGAATGCTTACATGTATTTCAGAGATTCTTGGCACAGAGCATTTTGTTAATTACTCAGTGCTATTGCACATATTTACAAGAATTTCATTCTGTAGATGAATATCACCTCCTTTTTTCCCCTCCCCCCCACCCTAATTTTAAAGATGAGTTCGCACGAAACACAGTTGAGGAAAATATCCAGATGAAGAAAGAGCTGGAAGAAGAGAGATCTCGTTATCAGAATCTGGTAAAAGAGTATTCAAGACTGGAGCAGAGATACGACAACTTGCGTGATGAAATGACTGTTGTAAAGGTAACAAAACCAACGTGATCCCTCTTGTGTTGTGTCGTGGAGTTGGTGTTGGCGGCTGGGTAACGTGGCTCACTCATCCTCCAAATACTTCATGGAACAGACATTGAGCAGTTTGTGCTTGATGTTTCTAAGATTGAACTTGTACACTGAAGGAGAACCATGCGTGTGCCTGGAAAAGGAGCCTGATCTCTCATGCTTCTCAGTGAACTACTGAGAGATACCTGTGAATCTCAGCAAAAGCTGGTTCGTGCTTCTGCCTTTGCTCTTTGCTTTGGTGTTGGCCAAGTGTAGGTGTTGGGTTAAAAACAAAACAAAATGACAAAACGAAAAATCGTCAACAAACAAACAAACAAACCAACGTGAAAACAAAACACAAAAAGCCCCCAGCAGCATAGCTGCAGAATTTCAAAAGCCAAGGTTGTTAGGTTCAGCTTTGCTGAAGTGTTAGAGGAACTGCTGAAAGTTCGATAATAAAGTGATGCTGGATTAGGTGGAAGTTTGAGCTTTTAAAGGGAGCCTCAGAGGTTGCTGTGAGCAGCATGATCTTGAGCTCAGATTTTCATGTTCACACTTTACAGGCATCTGGTATTATGAAAAGCCTTCTGCTCATGCAGAATGTTTAAATTGAGCTTCTACATCACTTCACATTTTATTTTAAACTATTCCCCTGTGTTATTATGAATGTTGTGGTAGGACATAAGAACCAGAAGTTGGAATTCACTGTATGGTGACAGTCAAGCCTTTTGTAAAAGTAACCTTAGTATATAGATGCATATTTGCTCTAACAAACAATGCTTTGTGAGGAATCCTTCCTTAAATGCTGAACATACTATGTATCTGCATCGTTCCTTTGCAGCAGGCACCAGGGCACAGGAGGAACCCATCCAACCAGAGCAGTTTGGAGTCCGATTCCAATTATCCGTCCATATCAACCTCTGAAATCGGAGACACTGAGGATGTCGTACAGCAAGTGGAGGTGCAGTAAATCAGGCAGGCTCGGGGGGAGGAGGAGAGCGCTGCTCCGCAGGGGTGATTGACGTGGGCTCCACATAGGAGGAATGCAGCTGGGCTTTGAAGAGTGAGGGATTGAACTGATTTCTTGCTGCAGAAATACCGTATTAATTGCGTGAGAGGGGTTCCAGGCTTGTGGTGCTGTAGCAAATGCTCTTTCATTTGTAGGCTCAGACTTCAATAGGCCTCTGAAAATAAGAAAGTCTTGTGGTTTTGGCCGTACCAGTTTGAGGAGTGATGAAGAGACATCAGCACAGTCAGCGTTGTTACGTGTAATTATTCCCAGCGCCGATGGCAGTGACTGGGATACCCAAGCTCATCACCCCCTTGCCCTGAGCTTTTCCATTCCAGTGCATCGTCACAGCTGCTTTGCTGTCCAGCACAGCCCCTGCATTTGACAGTCTCTTCTTGCAGAAAAGAGCAGCATAAATTATTCCCTGGCTATCATGAACTGCATGGAAAAAGGGAGCGTGATTTTTGCTTTTGTTTGCAAGAATAGTCTGCTTTTTAAGCTCCACCTCTGTGACACGAGGTATGGATGAGGAATCTGGCACCCCACTGGCAGGACCATATTTTGTGTCCCATGTACCATGCAGAAACTCCAACTTCCCTTTGCTAGCCACTGTTTTATGTTGCTTTAGTATTTCAGAACTGTTCTGAGAGCATTTGCTAAAGTGGAAGTAATTAGTATTGGCCAAGCTCTAATGCAAAGTATTCCAGATGAAGCCAGTTAAAAAAGCAACTAATAAGTACTTGGCTACAAAGGACTTTTAGTAGAATATTTTAATGTTCTTAGCTGTGGCCCCAATCACCCCACTTGTCTATTGGGCTGTTAAGCATTCGGTGATTTATTAAAACGAGTCAAGTTCATACTGACATTAAAAATAGGTGCCTAAAGTATGGGTTTGGACTCTTAAAGTACATGCCTTCCTTGAGGATGCTCCTGTTACTGGCTGTGGCCAGGGTGGGTACTAATGTACAATCAGGACGTACCTGCCACTGTGCATGATTATTAAACTTGACTGAGGTCTTCTCATTTATTTTCCACTCTCCTGATCTTTTTTTTTTTTCCCCACTCTCCTGTTCTTCTAAAGGAGGTCGAGTTGGAGAAGGCTGCCATGGATATGACCCTCTTCCTAAAGCTGCAGAAGCGAGTGAGAGATCTCGAGCAGGAGAGGAAGAAGTTACAAACCCAGCTGGACAAAAAGGAGCAACAGAGCAAGAAATCCCAGGTCAGAGATGTCTCTTCAGTGATACTGATATATCATGTTGGTAACTGACTTTCCATGCCTGCCTGAGGACACACAGTGTAGGAACTGAGGCTTGAGAGTGACAAGTTCTAGTTGCAAGGCAGCAGATCCATCAGGGAAACAGAGAGAAACTTCTTTTGCAGCTAAGGACAATTAGACAGGAGAACTGATTTTCTTTTTTTTTTTTTTTTATAAGCTGGTTATAACAGATTAGGACAGTATTTTAGGTATCTTGAAAGCAACGAGACGTAGAATCAGTTCTGGAGCATTGTATTCTGCCTGCACTGGTCCAGTTTCCTCCTCTTGAAAAATGTGAAGTGTGAACAGAGTTTTGTTAGCAGAGATCAGAACAAAGAAGGGGAATGTGTTTGAGGGATTGCAGATGGGCGTGATGCTTACAGACACAGATAACACCTTTTGGCTGTACCAAACCTAGAGGCGTGTCAGTGCTCAGGAGCTGTGAAGACAAAGACCCTAGTGTCCCTCGTCTCCACGTGATTTTTGGTTGATTTGGGTTATTCAAGCGCTTCTTAGTAGTCCTGGCTTCCTCTCAGCCAGCAGTGTGTGACATAAACGGAGAAGCTCATGGCAGACTTGTCAGTCAGGCTTGTGTCCTCAGTGTGGTATTGTTGTAATCTCTGTGGTTTTTGGTTTGTTTTTGTGGGTTTTTCCCTCCCCAGTAATGATCGTATAGAAAACAGTACAGTAAATAAGAAATGGCAAGATAACTGTTAGAAGAATGCGTTCTTCCTCTTCTCTGTACTGCAGGAAAGGAATAGTCCTTCCATTTATACAGATTTTCTGTATTTACAGATATCCTTTCTTCCATATGAAAAAAATATCTTCCTACAGTTTGGGTGGTTTTCTTGGAAGTAATTTAAAAAAAATAAATTAAAAACTCTAGATTACTGGCAGCCCGGTGATAACTTGAGAGTCAATCCTGACTTGCAAGTGGAATCTGAAAAGCCTCTAACTGAGGCTTTGTGACTTGCTTAGAGAACAGACTGTGAGAGAAGATCCATGCCATGAAACATCAGTGCTGTGTGCCGGGTGTCACAAAGCAGTAAAAATGCTCTACTGAGCAAATGCCATCGCTCTTTGTTTAATTATTTAAGTATCTGGGGCTGTCGTTGCTTTGCTTGGGAACTATTTAGTTTATTTGCCTCCAATGTGAAATCTGCGTTGTCTGACAAATGCGGGAAGAGACTCAACAAAACTGTAAACGGTGATTATTTACTTGCTTTGCGGGATACTCTTACAGATCACCCCTGGCAGTGTGTAGGAAATAAACAAAGTGGAAAACTTCCCCAACCTGTCTTCCTTGCTGTAGAGGCAGATTAAAACCTGCCTCCCAAATGCTGTGTTGGAGATTGTTCCCCTCGTGACTGTCATTGTTTGAAAGCTGCGGTGAGCCACAGTTGTTAGGATATTAATTAGAGATTCACCCATTTTCTTCTAAAGCAGCCCTTAACCTGCTACATGTTGCTGCCGCTCCAGCTAATGAATATTAATAACATTATTATGGTTGAGTGGCTGGAAGAACTCGCTGTTGATGGAGCCACGCCTAGCCATCCTGTGCCACGTGCCAGTTCCTCTGGCAGCTCTTAAACACAGATTTATCTCTTTCATCCGCATAGGTAGCTGAAATGAAGACTGAAGTGCCTTCAGACCATGAAGATTTTGCATACAACAGTCTGAAGGTGAGTGAGGAGCTCCTGCTCAGTGCTGTAACCTGTTGCATGGCTCTAACAGCCCACACAAACTGTCTGAACCTGCTAATAACCCAAAATTTTCCGCAATAGGCTGTGTTTGAGATAGCAGTTGGGAAGCTGTAGCTCTCCAGTCAGCTGCTGGGCCTGAGGTGAGCTCACAGATGTCTCTCAGGCAACATCTGTTCTGAGCTGGTCTGCCTGTTTCTGAGTCATGCACGGTGGTAGCAAGCTCACTCATGGCGAAGGATGCTTTTTCCACTCTAAATATTCCTACTGGGACTTTCTTGAGTTTTCTTTGACATGATACTGCAGGTCTTGGCATTTTTTCTGCAGGAGGTGTGAATTTTTCCAGGTGAAACCCAATGTATTTCTTATTCCAGGCTCCGTGTCAGCTATTTGTCCACTTTCTTTGCATTCCCAAGCTGCCACTCAGGTCCAAACCAAATATATCTGCTGCATGGATTCCAGTAAAAGAAAAAGAGCTGACTGACCACAGTCATCCTATGTCTTCCCAGCTATTGCCCTACTCTGCAATTCATCTTACACCTAAGCTCTAAATCCTCACAGTTCTGTCTCCATCATTTTCTCCCTACAATGTACAGAGTGACTGAAACCTGATAGGCTCCTGTCGTGGCTTGTGTGGGTTGTCCTCCTTCTTTATCTGTACCCAAATACCCCTGCTCTTGTCACTTAGGCCAGTTCTTATGTGCTGCTCATCCATCTGGGATAAGCTTTGTAAGAAGTGTTTTGTTTGGGTTTTCTGTTGTGGGTTTGTTTTTTTTCTCCAGACGTACATTTCAAATGCTTCTTCTCTCCCTGTCACTTTAACATATATTGCAATAAACCTGAGAAATATGGAGAAACACGCATTAGCCAGGAAAACATCACACAAAACCATGTGACAGTAGCAGTACCTACTTTTTGCTGTCATAGAATATCTTGAGTTGGAAGGAGCGTATAAGGATCATCATCTCATCAGAATGATGCACAAAACCCCAGAAGTTAGAGATGGAAAAGCTGTCTGATCAGCCCTCCCTGAGAGAATACCTCTAGCAGTACCTTTTTCTGGCGTTCAGTCCATCCAGGTTTCAGTCCCTATGCACGATATTTGAGTTGCACTCACCAGCCCGTTTGTGATGGAGGGAAGCCCTGCCGAGTTTCATTAGTGACTCTGCACAACCCATTGGAGTAGAAGTGTGGCAGGAGCTTTAAGATCATTGCCCCAGTGTCTTCCAGTTGGTTAAACACAGCTATGTAAGCTTCAAGTTTCTTGACCTTGTAAAGCAACGTGAAGTTGCAGTTTGGAAGGGGAAGACCCAGCAGATGAGAACTGCTGCCTTCTGGAGTTCTTACTGCTGTGCGAGCACACAAATTGTGTTTTCTTCAAGTTTTTACCCCGGAAGTTCAGAATGGAAATGCTAATTTTAGATTCTCTTACTTTCTGGATTCCTAATGTGCTAACATACGTAGTCCTACATATGTTGCAACAAGTAACAACCAGATCTATGGGCTTGCTTTAATGCAGCACAGACCTGAGCTGTAGCACACGGTATTTTGGGTACCAGCGTGTTGGGTGACTGTCAGCCTGGGAGGAGCTGAGGTCCCTGTGAAAAGCCGGGAGCGATGGCTTCAGATGCCACAGTGAGAGGCAACCCCTAGCCTGAAAGGAAAGGGTCTTGTGTTCCCTGTGGGTGGGTTGGCCTGAGAGGAACCACTAAAAAAGAGAAACAAATACAACTCGCTGGTGTTTTCCCAGTTTGTGAATACTGGACACTGCAGAGTTTTCCATCTGCAATGAGACAGTGACTTTCTGCTGATTCCGAGTGCTGCTTTTCCCTCCTTCCCCTGTGGTAGCTGCTTCTATAGCTATAACAAAACTCTTCCTCTCTTCTATTTCCTCTGCTAATTTGTACCTCAAATATTTATGCTGCCTCTGCCTCCTTCGAGAACCTTCTGTAATTAGATTAATTTTTCCTTTTTGCCAGCTTAAAAAAGTCTTTATCTTGGGTCAAGGTGTTTAAGAGCTTACACGCAGCAAACCCTTCCTGTGGATGCTCTGTGAGGTACCAGCTGCTGGAAAAGGAAAGAATGTTGGCTTTGATGCACAAGTGCTGCATTATTTTTTGGAAATAGAGACTCCATAGCCACTTAAGAAAAGGTTTCAAAAGCTTTTAGAAAGGTGTCTGCAATGTCTTTTCAGAAACCAGTGTACTTCCCTGAAATGAATATGAATTTTGACTTGAGGTGTGGAAACTTTCTGATGTAGCTGAAAACCTCATTGTGGTGTAGGAGTCTTGCATTAGACACAGAACAGGTGCTTGGGTAAGGTCATGAATGAACCAGGGTTTGGTTTCAATAAATATGAATAAAAATACATAAATGAAATAAAAATGTAAACATAAGTTTATGCATTATTTTCAAGTAATGCATACAAATACCTGTTTGGGTAAACATAATAAATGTGGTTATAAGAGCAGGTTTTCTTGGGGGTTAAGGATATTTCTAGGTATTTTTCAGTACTTTGTGACCCAAATCTTCACTGCTTTTGGGCTCCTTTTTGGGTTCCATTCAAGATATTTTTGGCCCCTTGAGCAGGACCAAGCTGTGGTTGTCAAGAAATGGTCGTGAGGGCTTGGGTCTGCCACTTCATATGTGTTTGCTGTCGTCCTGCTCTGTCTTGATTTAATGGTCCTGTATTGTCACAGCACCCACATGGCCTCTGGGATCAGGTTTTGCTGGGGAGCCTGTTCTTGGTGCAGATTTTGGTGGAAGGAAGTTCAGCTGGATAAAGATTGGTTGGTTAGTTTTGTAACGCTGCGAATAAATGTGAGAAGCTAGAGCTAGCACCAGTGTATTTACAGCACACATAAATTCTGTGGTTTTTGTAATGAATAAATGGAGTTTTCCGTAGGTGCTGTCCCAAAATACACCGAGCAGGGTGTTTGGTTAGCCATGATGCAGGGCTAGAGGGATGTGAAACTCCTCACTTGTTCTCCTGAAGGAGTGTGTGTCCCTGAGTTACACCTGTACAACAAAAAGTTCCTCAGTGAAAGATGTTTTTCCTGGCTTGATTTTTCAGGGTGGGAAAGCAGGAGTGGGAATGAAAGCACCAAGGGGTCCTTGCCCAGACTTTGTGTTCCTAGCATGAGCACGATGCGTAATTTGCTTTCTTACTCTTCGCATAGCTGGGATGCTTGCTTCATCCTTTAGGCTTGGAAGCTCATCATAAAATGAGCTTCTAGAGGATTTTATTTTCTTTTCCTATCAAGTACCAGAAATAGAAGAGAGGGCAAATTCCTGGCATGGCAGTGCTAACCTCTGATTTGCAGAGGATCATACTTCACCCAGCACTGCTATATAAGCCCCTTTTTAAAGAGCTGAGGCTATTTCTTTCGCTGTTGGGTTCCTGCTTTGCACCTCCATGGTGCTGTATGTGTTGGGACAAGTGTGAGTTCAAGTTCAGGATGTTCTGACTATATAACTTGTCAAATAAATCAGCGCTATTGGACTGTGCTGAAGAAAAAGCCTTTCCCACGCTGCAAGTAGAAATCTCCCTTTCCACTTTCCAAGCATTTTATTTTAGCTCCTGCTCTTCCACCACTGATGCTGGTGCAAAAAGGGTCTGCAGGCAGGGGACAGCAGACATCTATCCCGCGCCCACAGATACTTTAAAGTTGCTCCATGAAATCCACAAAAAAAAAGGAGTGGGGAATGAATTGAAAAGTAAACTCTGAAAGATGTCTGGGGCATAGGCTGTTGGAGAAGGGTTGTTAGCTATCTTTTCCTTTACTGATCTGCTTGCCTTTGTTTCTAACCAGAGTACAGCTTGATACAATCAGTCCCAGGGGTTACCAGGATGGCTGATTAAAAAAAATACCAAAAACGAAGCAAAAATAAAACACCACCAAGCAAACCAAAAACAGAGAGAGAAGGAGAAAAAAAGAAAAAAGAGAAGCAGAAAGAAAAGAGGAGAAAACAAAAAGAGGAGGGAGAAAAAAGGAAGGGGAAAAAAAAAAAGAAAAGCGAGGGTCTTATCCAGAAAATAACAAAAAACAGGGAAGAGCCATTTGGGTAGAGAAGCACTTAATCACTTTCTTTTTACCCTTCACCTGTCTCTGAGCAAGATCAGAAAATCATGGAAAGCGAGGTGATGCTTTAGCCGTGCAGCCAGAAGAGTTAAATCCAGTTTGGTATTGATTTTCCCACTGCACACACACTTCCCAAACTCTTGGTTTCAAAACCGATTATAGAAAGGCTGATGTCTCACACGCTCCCTCTGCTGAGCTGTGGTTAATGTGGATGTGGATGAATTGCTGTATCTAATGCATTTTTTAGGGGGTTTTATTATTATTTTTTTTTAAAGGACAGATGGCACAAAGTACCTGCATATGCTCTGTTACTGATGGCGGTGGCTCAGCTGGGAGCATGTTGGCTGCCCAGATGCCAGATCAGCTATTCTGTTCACACCTCTGCTGTGATAAGGCGTGCTATTTATAATTTGCAAGGATTTATAATTATAACACCCGTTTCCTATGGAAACGAGGTTTACACAGCTGTGCTAGCTACACACTGTATAAACTGTATAAATTGCTCCCGCCTCCCCACCTCCCCAGCCGTTTTTGGATTTGTTAGCTCGCCTCAGCCAAAGCTGATAACAAAGCAGGTACCCCGTGATGAGAAGGATCATGCAAGAGTCAGGAAGAGAGAAGCACCTGGATCTCAGTGGGAAAGAGCTCGTCCTGTGTTAGACACCAGAGAATCCACGTGGATGGGGGGGTCGATCCCTAGGAAAGAGCTGACCCCACATCAGTCAGATACCAGGCTTTTGTCAGCAAGCTTGCAGACATCTCTGGTTTTGCCATGTGGTGTTCGGATGATGTTCCCGATGGGTTTCGATGTTGTCCCAGAGACCTGGGTGCACAGGGACAGGAGGGAGCAGTTCTGGGTGAGGTCCTCCTGCCCCTCTGCTCTGCCCTGGTGAGGCCACATCTGGAATCTTGGGTCCAGTTCTGGGCCCCTCAGCTCCAGAGAGACAGGGAACTGCTGGAGAGAGTCCAGCGCAGCCCGAGGGATGATGGAGGGATGGGACATCTCCCTGGGGAGGAAAGGCTGAAGGAGGTGGGGCTCTGCAGCTTGGAGAAGAGGAGCCTGAGGGGTGACCTCATTCAGGTTTATAAATATGTCAAGGGGGAGTGTCGGGAGGACGGAGCCAGGCTCTTTTCAATGACAGGACAAGGGTCAGTGGGTGCAAGCTGGAGCACAGGAGGTTGCACCTCAGCATGAGGAGAAACTTCTTTCCTGTGAGGGTGCTGGAGCTCCTTCTCTGGAGACTTTCAGACCCTGCCTGTGTGACCTACTGCAGGTGATTCTGCTCTGGCAGGGGGTTGGACTAGATGATCACAGAATCACAGAACATTAGGAGTTGGAAGGGACCTCAGAAGATCGTGATGATGATGATGATGATCTTTTGAGGTCCCTTCCAACCCCTAACGTTCTGTGATTCTGTGGGTGCTGCCATGGAGCAGCTGATGATGGAGGATCCGGTGCAAAGAGAAGGTGGGTTGGCATTTGGCATTCGAGGAGGGCCTCGGGGTTGTGTTCCCTCCCCATCTGCAAGGACTGATCCATCCTCAGGAGCAAAACTGCTCTTGACCCAGCAGGGATGCTCCAAGAGGATTTTTGGGTGAAGAGCTGCCAAAGGTAGTGTTACCACCTTGCTTTGTGGTGAAATGTTGAAATAAAGGCTGTCTTAGCTACTGGAGTTGTATTCTTCCATCTTCTACTGTCATGCAAAAGCAAATAAGCCCTTCACTTGTCTCGGCGAACACAGTGATGCTCATGCATCGTTATTCAGGTGAAGCAGTTGGTGTCAAGCGTGTACAGTATTGCCCTTGCCTGTCAGATGCCAACAGCTGACAAGACGTCAGGGCGAGAAAATCCTCCAGCTGCCAGCATTGCACTGACCGAGGTGGAGGGAATTGCAAAATGGATGCGAAAAGGAGCTGTAGTGGGAATTCACACAGCCGTAGCTCACCTTGACGAGGCGTCTGCCATGATGAAGGTTCATGTAAATTGGCATTTCCCAGCTTATCTAATGAATATGAAAGGTGAGCTAAACGTTGTGGGTTTTGTGCTGATTTGTTGATTGAAAAGGAGAAGGGCTGGAGAAGAAACAAATGTGTTTGGCTTTCCTAACAGCTTGCTTTTGTGTTTAAAAATATTGCCAACAAATAAATTTTAAAAAAAGTATCACCCTGCAGTGTTACTAAATAACAACAGGTTACTGACTACCACAAAAATCTTTCCTCAAACACCCATGGCTGGACTGTCAACAAAATCCAGATCCCGGCATGATTTGATCATTTGTCCATGATCACTGGTAACTGAGTTACCTTAGAGGCATCTCAGAAAAGGGTGGTGGCACTACAAGACAGTTTATCTGAACTGGTTAATGGCTTGGTGTTTTCCAGAGGCAAGAGCTGGAGTCGGAGAACAAGAAGCTGAAAAATGAACTTAATGAGCTGAGGAAGGCTATTGCAGACCGAGCAACCCAGAACAACTCCTCCAATGATATTCAGGATTTTTAATCAGCTGAAATCGGCCAACGAGGAGTTGGAAGTGCGCAAGGAAGAGGTGCTCATCCTGAGGTCGCAGATTATGAAGGCAGCCCAGCAGAAAGAGACGGGGAAAAACATGGTAATTGAGAGCATAATGGATTTTGTTTTCCTTCCCCTGTTCTGTTGCTGAACATTCACTGCTTCTCCGAGCGATGCCATTTCTGCTTTGGTAGGCTCTGGGTGGCAGGATGGTGCGGGCAGGTTATAGGAGGTTCTGCCTGTGGATAAGATAAAGTCCATCACATCATTTTGGGCAGGACTGTATGTCCCGTGGGTGGTGGTCTGCACTGCTGTGAGGTGCTTGACCCCATACCTGGTGAGGTCTAGCCAGCCCACACTGAGGAATAACTTCTTCAGCCTTGCACCAAGTTGTGGTGCTCTGAGATTTTCCCCGTGATGCTTTATGTCAGCTGGCTTATTCTGCAAGGGAACAAGATGGGGGAAGATTGTTTCTGGAGGAGGTGCTGCTCACTTGAGGCTCGTGCAGCCATAATGTGTTTTTACTGGCACGTAGGCAAGAAGAGAGCCTGTCCCATCACAGTTGTTTGAGGTTTTTTTTGTTTAGAACCTGTCGTGATGGAAAAGTATGTTTTTTGAAAACTCTCACTTGGGCTTTTAAATTCACTGCCTTAACATTCCTCAAGGTTTTTGTCTGTTTTGTAATTCAGACCACCTCCCCCCCCACTTATCTCCCTCCCAGGGTCACTGCATCCTCCTTCCATCTCCTGATCTCTGCTGCTGCTGTGTGTTAATTCGTTGCAGCTCTCTAACCTGATGGATGCCCTGAAAAAGCTCACTTAAAGGTGGTTGGGTGTTGTTCCTTATCAGGGACTTTGAAAGAGAGGAGGAGATGTTCAGGGTGTCATGCTGCTGTGTTTTGCATGTTGTATTTAGGACAGTGTCACGACCAATGCCAGCTGGCCCAACAGTGACAAGCACGTTGATCAGGAGGACGCGATTGAAGCCTACCAGGGGATGTGTGAGACAAACCGGTAAGTGCGGCCCAAATTTTTCCAGCAGGAAGGGCTCACCAAAGTGCAAGAGATGGGATCCAGACTGACTTTAACAAAACATTTTGGAGAGTTAAGCAGCTTCTGGATCTTGTGTTGAGGATGGGCCATAAAGATGGGACCAAAGATGCAGGTCTTGTACTGGGTGAGGAGCCCTTGTTGCTGGGCGAGTGTGTCCCCAGGGGAGGGGAGATGCTGGGCAGGTAGAAAAGTCATCATGGAGCTGAGCAAAACTGGATTTTGACTTTGCTTCCACTACATAAATAGTAGCAAGACGAGGATTGAGATACATTTAAGAGTTACTTATTTCAAGTAAGTCCTCGTGCTGTGCTGGGAAGGCGGCGTGGTCCCCCTCTCATTTTCCCAAGGGCAAAAGCCCATGATGGTGAACTGAGCTAACGAACACGCTCTGTGTTCTCTGGCAGCACCTACGTTATCGGTTTTCTTGCATCTGAACTGAGTTTTTGGAACGTTTGTTTGATGACAGGTTTCCCAGAGCGAGGGATAATGCTGTGAACATGTGTCTGTCCTTACAGTAACTGTGGGCTCATGCTGTGAGGCATTAAATCAATCCTTGCAGCTATCTAGGAGGACATCAGGTGAAAAAGTAGTATCTTGCAAGAAGACAAAAAGACATGGCTTAAACAGCAGGATAATACATAAAGTAAATATTTATTTTACTGCAAGGAAATTGGATGTTCATCTCCTTTTCTCATGACAAATACAGATGTTTGAGGCTTTTTTCCTAAATAATTTGCATTCAGCAAGGTAGTCAGAGGACCTAACTGTTGTGGATTAATGGCTTTTAATAACGCAGTGCACTTTGCTTCTTTGTAAACTGCTTGCAGCAGGTTGTTAGCAGTCCGAGCTGGCAAAGATAATGACTTAATTAGAATTTTATTTGTACCTGTATGATATGAGCAAAGGCTCACCATCTCTGAGTGTAATATGAAAAATTATGAAGATTTGATTAAAGCTTTCAGAACTGGGTGGCCAAGAAGGTGCAATGGGAAATCCATGTGTGTAGTTTGATGTGTGTAAATTCCTAGCTGTGCGGTCAACTTTGGTCATCATGTCTGTGCTGCACATCCCCCAAATTCCTGCCATAACGCGGGCTGGATTTTCTGAATTCGCATGTATTTTAATTTTTGGGAAAGCCCTAGGAGAAGCTGTGGAGATCTCCTAGTGTTTGAGTACAGAGATGAGCTAGAAGGGCTGGATTCCATATGCATTGCACTTAAACAAAGCTTAAAACCCTGATGGTTGGACTGAGACTCTGCCCACACAAATATTTCCAGCCCAGGGACCCAGAAGAGTGGGGAGTGTTGGGGTCCAGGACTTCTGTGATGCTGGTTTTTCACCTGGGCATCATGTCTGGCTCGATCGGACCAGTGTGTGTGTGTTTTCAATTTGTTGCCATTGAATATTTGCTTTCCTGAAGCAAACTTGCTGATGAAATTTCTGCCCCTCCTGCTGTAGAGGTGATGAGATTGATCTAAACATCACCTTTTTGTCAGTAAATCAATGGAGCACCGTGTGCTTCCTACTGCAAGGGGCTTTTTTTGGTCACTTAATGAATTCTGTGGATTTTCTCTTATTTCCTTCCAATTTTCTCCTGGAGCTGTGGGCACTGGTACATGAAATCCTGTTGTCAGGCTCAGTTTTAATTACTCCCTAAATTGCATTTTCTGGTGTGCGTGCATAGGGGTGGTTAGTTTCTATTCAGGTTTGGTGAAGGAGTTGGAGTCAAATTAAGTGTTGCTGCTTTCTTAAGGCACGTGTCCAACCTGGGTGTATGTGTTGTATCACTGATCCCACCCTCCTCCCCATAGTAATCAGTATTGGGCCATCCTGGAGTACGTGTTGTCCACTTTCATTCAACCTGACAGGAGATTCTGGTCCTTCTTCATAGAATATTTTGGGTTGGAAGGGACCTTAAAGATCATTTGGTTCCAGTCGCAGTAGTGGGACACCTCCCACCACACCAAGTTGCTCCAAGCCCCGTCCAACCTGGCCTTGAACGCTTCCAGGGAGGGGGACATCCACAGCACCTCTGGGCAACCTGTGCCAGGGACTCACCACCCTCACAGTGAAGAATTTTTCCCTCGTATGTCATCTAAATCTAGCCTTGTTCAGTTTGAAACCATTACCTTTTGTCTTGTCACTATGCTCCCTGATAAAGGGTCCCTCCTTATCTTCCCTGGAGCCCCTTCAGGGACTCAAAGGCCGCTGTGAGGTCTCCCCGGAGCCTTCTCTTCTCCAGGCTGAGCAGCCCCGACTCTCTCAGCCTGTCCTCACAGGAGAGGGGCTCCAGCCCCCTGATCCTCTTTGTGGCCTCCTGTGGACCCGCTCCAACAGCTCCGTGTCCTTCTTGTGCTGGGGGCTCCCGAGCTGGACACAGCCCTGCAGGTGAGGTCTCAGCAGAGCAGAGCAGAGGGGCAGAGTCACCTCTCTCGACCTGCTGGCTACGCGGCTTCTCACGCGGCCCAGGCTGGAATTGGCCTCCTGGGCTACCAGCACGCATCGTTGGCTTTTGTCCAGCTTTTCCACCACCAGAGGCCCAAAGTCTTTTCCTCACGGCTGCTTGCAATCCACTCATCACCCAGCCTGTGCTTGAGGTTGCCCATTTTCAGCCGTTCCATGCTTAGCTTCCACAGGGAGGCTGGAATCACATGGAGGAGTCATCAAAAAAAAATGCTGCAATGATCTGATTTTCCTCAAGAGCACAAATCTCTTTCCTTGCCATTGCCCAGGTGAGCTGCAGTTTAAGAAGTCCACATGATCAGGCCTTGATGTTTTTCGGCCTCTTGAGATTTGAAAGGGTAAATCTTCAGTCTCCGGTCTTGATTTCCTGTTATCTCTCTCATCTACCTCTCGCACAAAGCTTAACTGGAGCTTGCCTCTTGTGGCAGCAGCTTCACATACCATCACGCTCATTTTCTGTGGTGATTTATCCAGTGGCTCATTAATCACCATCAGCTTGTGTGGTTCCCTGTGCATTTGTGTACTGGGTTGGTTTGTAAACCTTAGGCTGGAGCAAATGGCAATAAAACCGATGAAGACCAATGCTCAGGGAGCATGGATTATTGTATTTCTCAGTATAAGTTACCATGCACTCCCTCCACCACAAATTTGCATTCCTACTTACACAGCTATATGCCCAGCTGTGTCATCATGAGAAATAAAACTTCTTTCTCTTTCTAATTTTGGTCGATAAATATTTTAATGGAAAGCTTTTCTGGTGGGATTGCTGTTCTGAAGCGGGATTAATAAGCAAGACCCACTTTTTATCCCACCTGCACTGCAAGAAGTACTCTCATTTCTCTTTACCCTGTTACCTCTCATTTTTCAAGCAGTCTCTAACAGGGGTGGATGCTCTTCCACTGATCTGGTCTGACCAGTGTCATAAAACCATGGTCACAGAGTGGTAGAACCATGGAATGGTTTGAGTTGGAAGGGACCTTTAAAGGCCATTTAGTCCAACCTCCTGCAGTGAGCAGGGTCATCTTCCACTGGATCAGGTTGCTCAGAGCCCCGTCCAACCTGACCTGGGATGTCTCCAGGGATGGAGCCTCCATCACCTCTCTGGGCAATTTTTCACCACCCTCAGTGTAAAAAAAAAATCTTCCTTATATCTAATCTAAATCCACCCTTTCCTAGTTTAAAAACATCGCCCAATATCCTATCACGACATGGTCCATGCATTGGTGACTCCTAACTTGAAGCCATCATGTTTTAGCTGCTTAGGGTGGGGATGGAGCATGGCTTTATTTTGTTAGGAGATAGAGCTTTTATTCTCTCTACATCTATATAATCCAGGACTTTTAAATACAACAGCAGGAAAACAGGAAAAACTGCTGGGTGCTGCTAACCCTGCCCACGTAGAAGTTCTTTTTCTCTGCTCCATACCCAGGGCAAAGCCTCCTGATGCCAGGTAAAGAGGAAATTTAATTTGAAAGCAGCCCCTTATGAATGCAGTGAACTCAGCTTTTCTTGTCCCCACCTGCCTTGCTGACTTCCACCTGCTAAAGGGCAGAGCATCAAGTTAGTTTCCAGCTCATTTTCTGCTTCAGTAACTGAATGTAAAGCTGGGTAGGCGCTTTGCTCCGTGTTCCTGTTCTTGGGATCTTTCTTTCAAGTCTATTTGATCTCGTTGGCAGTTTAGAGCCAACAAAAGACCAGGTGATGATATTAGCGATAATAACCTGGCACCTCAAAGCAGATCGAGCTTAGTCTTTGAAATTAATTTCTGTGATTAACTTCCCAGTGATCTCTGTAGAGTACATCACTTTTATTTATTTTTTTTTCTGCTGGGTACGTCTCACCCGCAGCTGCAAGTGCAAAGTCAAGGGCTGACAGTGGCTTCACAGAGGATGCTTTTGTAGCAGGAAGAGGCCATCACAAGGAAAGGCTTCATATCTCTCCTTACCACTCTCCAATACGTCTCTTCTTATCACTGCTTCCCGCCCTGTCATGTATCTAATCTGTGATGTGCACTAGCTTTCCACTCCATTTAAAAAAAAAGAAAAAAAAAAAGCATGTCAGTGTTTGAAAGTAATGTGCCTTTTATTCTTTACGAAGAGATGACAACTATCTGACGATGCTAAAATTAACGTCTCTGGTGTTTGGTGTACGTGCTTGGAGGAGCCGGGGGGAGGCATTTGGGGCAGGAATTTCTCTCCTTTCATGAACGCCGTTTGCCAAATCCAGGTCACCAGCTGCTCCCCTGGACCCAGACCTCCAGGGTAAGGATCAAGGAGAGCTGAGGCTGTGAATCATGTCCTTCCAGCTCCATTCGGGCTTATTTGAGAGAAGGATCTACCCACCATTTTAGGAAATTATTTTGGCACATACTAATTAATCTAATTAGCTCGAGAGGACCTCTATTGGCTTTTAATGTCTTGGTCAATACGAGCCTCTGGGGGAAGGGAAGCTCAGTGATTTCTGAGTCAGTGCTGTGCTGGTGAACACGGGCTGAACAGTTATTTCCCAGGGCAGTTTTGTCTTTGCATACTGGCACCACCTTGAGCGGCTTTCCTCATTTGCCGCAACGCATATGATGAAAAAAGGAAAGAAGGCTATTTTTCAAAGGATGTTTTCTGGGAGAATGCATCTCTTAAAAATGCTGCTCATCCTGTGAGATTTCCCAAGTTACTGATGTGTAATAAGCAGTGAGGAACCTTCCTGTTGGATTTTTTTGCATTTTGTTTGTTTGGTTGGGTTTCAGTGTTTAAGTATATGTTCTGTTAAGATTGTGTGAACAAAAGAAATACCTTCCCAACAATTTGACCCAGATCACACCAAGAAACATTCCTGTATCTGTCAGCCTACAGACCTTTTTTGAAACCTGAGTCATGTGGGTAAAAATGAGGTTTTAATCAAAATGCAAACACATAGCTTTAGCAGGTGGATTTTCCAAACGTAAATACCCAAAATGTTTGCTACTTTTGAGAAATACTGCTGTGCCAGGATGGAAGGGGTGTATTGGCTGTCTGCTTTGGTGAGTCCTTCTGTGCTCACCGCTTTCTTCATGTGAAAATTTGATATACAAAGTTTGTGCTTTTCCACTTATATATACAGTTTTCCTTGCCAGGGAATAACCCTTGCCACACCTCTTCAAAACAGGAGATGTGTATTGACTTGTTTCTTTTTTTCTCTGAAAGTTTAATCATACAGAAGAGTTTTTTGGTTTGTTTATTTTTTGTTATTATTTCTGAAGAAAAAAAGTGTTTTCTAACTCACATCAAAGCCAAGTAAAATCTCGCTGTAGTAAGTGTTCCTGGTCAGGTTGGCTGGCTTATATCACTCACTTGTAATGTGTTCAACACCTTATCAAAGCAG